TGGACAGCAACTCCAGGAAGAAGCACAATACCTTGAACGAACAATGTAACAAGCCATTTGGGCTCCTGCATACTGCATAAAATGTTTTTGAAGGCACAGAAAATTCTGCCAACTGGTACTTTGGTAGTAGGTGTTGATGATGACAGTACAACCACACCTATCAGATGAATTAGCAAATTCTTTTTTTCTCTTAATTACCTTCCATCTTAAGTAGTAGTTGATATGGTTGCCAGAAAAAACATATAATGTTCATGCCCAGTGTTTCCCACAGGAGTTTGTAAGATGATGGTGGGTGGACCCTCTTGGGGAGTCCGAGGGCATGCCTGCCTGGAAGTTAAATGCTGTACATTTTAAAGTTAAATGCATTTATCTGGTGCACTTTGAGAGCAAATTAAGAGGCTAAATCTATGCAGAACTTTTGTAAACTCTTGTAAACAATTTTGTGCTCTAGTAAATTATTTGATCATAACTTATTGTATAGATATGAATGGTGATGATCATTTTAGTATTTACCTACTTCCTCCCCGATCAGGCATGGCGGTTGTCAGGCTGGAAAAAGGCACATTCAGAATATAAAAAGAAAAAACTAATTTTGAGGTAAGAAAGTACACTTTTGACCAAGACTATATTTTTATTTAGTATCTATACTATTAGTGATATTGTGTGACTCATATTAGATTAAAATGTAGTTTCTTAGGCAATATGTGATGCATTTCCCCACTGCTAGTTTCCAACCACTACAGCTAGCTAAAAAATGTCTGACAGGGGTGGGGTGGATTGTAACACTGTAAAAAATTACAGTTAAGGTTGTAACACACAATGCATTTGACATCCACTCACAATACCATACACAGTCTCCCCCATATACGTTTTATTAAAACCTTATTTTGAAAACCGGCATTGTCATGTGTATCCTCATGTTAAGTTCACTAGGTCCGATGCAATTAGATAAATTATATTGTATATGGTGTTCGTATCGCGTACAATGAAGATTGTGGGCCGCCATAGTCTTTGTAATAATGGAAAACATTGAAAGCCTTTGAAATTAAATTCTATAATTTGTAACCTAGCATTTGCTTACTGTAAATAAAACAGTGTTCCATTTATTTGACTATAGCATAACATTATCCTTTTTTTGAACTTTCATTGTGATGAAGCCCAACATATAATAATCCTTTAGAGACGGTTAAATATTTGAATCGAAGTGTAAAAGTGTGAGTTTTAAACACACTATATTACTCTTGGCAATTTCACCCACAGGATTAGCACTTACAGAGGTGGGGGTCCGCTCCAGCTTCAGTTTAGTTATAATGAACACGGAGGTGCAGTGAGAAGCCTGATCTTGTTAGATAAGTGACACAAAATATCAGTGAAGGTGACTAAGAGCACGTGATAACTGTTCAGTCTGGCATATGCCACATCAAAGCATGATGAGGCTCCTGCCACAAATAGTCACATCACTTCACTTTAACTGGGCTGTCATGACTTCATAGCTTAATTGAAGTGATTTCAGGTGTTTGGTTACACATGTGACAGACAGGGAAAGTGTCCTGACTGAAATCAGCCACGTTCTATTAATATTTCCCCCAGCCACCTCCGCAGAAGGTGTTAAACTGTGATAAGAGGTAAGTGTGACACCTAGTGTCGCTGGCGGTAATAACATCTTATATTTATATGACCTGCCATGAGGAAAGTGCAAACGAATCAGATATGATTAGTGACACTGGAATTGTTGTAAACAATATGTAATTGTAGCCTCTTTTATGAATACAACATGATAATTTGAATAAGGCCTGTTGCATGTAGAAACATGATGCTGTATGAACATAAACCATTCAACAAGACATAAATTGAATTAAGTTTCACAGACAATGTGTCCCTGAACAAAGGGAGGTCAAAATCAAAAGTAACAGTCAGCATCTGGTGTGGCCCCCAGCTGCAGTACTGCATGAAGTACTGCAGTGCATGTCCTCCTCATCAACTGCAACAGATTTGCCAGTTCTTGCTGTGAGGTTATCCCACTCTGCCACCAAGGCACATGCAAGTTTCTCGAGATTTCTGGGGGGGAATGGCCCTAGCTAGCCCTTATGGGTGCCACATGAGGTAGGAAGATGTCTTTCCTGTTAATCACAGCAGTAGTCCGACCATCACCCCCCAGTGAACCAAAACCACGTCAGGCAAGAGCACTTTTTGCCAGTCCTGTCTGGTCCAGCGAAGGTGGGTTTGTGCCCATAGGTTGCCAGTGATGTCTGTTATGGACCTGCCTTACAACAGGCCTACAAGCCCTCAGTGCTATTGCGGACAGTCTGGGCACTGATGGAGGGACTGTGTGCTCCTGGTAACTCGGGCAGTTGTTGTTGCCATCCTGTCCCTGTCCCGCCATGGTGATGTCCTGATGTACCAATCCTGTGCAGGTGTTGTTACACATGATCTGCTACTGCGAGGATGGCTATCTTTCCTGTCTCCCTGTACCGCTGTCTTAGGTGTCTCACAGTATGGACATTGCAATTTATTGCCCTGGCCACATTTGCAGTCCTCGTGCCTCCTTGCAGCATGTCTAAGGCACGTTCATGCAGATGAGCAGGGACCCTAGACATCTTGCTTTTGCTGTTTTTCGGAGTCAGTAGAGAGGTCTTTTAGTGTTCTAAGTTTTTATAACTGTGACTTTAATTGGCTGCCGTCTATACTCTGTTAGTGTCTTAATGGCTGTTCCACAGGTGCATGTTTATTGATTGTTTTTGTTTCAATGAACAAGCATGAAAAACATTGTTTAAAACCTTTACAGTAATGTTCAGTAAAGTTATTTGGATGTTTACAGAATTATCTTGAGAAACTGTCTGTTTTTTGCTGAGTTTACATGACGTGGTTTGCGCTTTCCTAAGACGCACCATGAAGACATTACTTTGTCGTGTGCATTGATAGCAACTAAAATATCTTGCACGTGTCATTTAAAACTATAAATCCTTAGGCCAAAGTCAACAGGGGGTTAAGATGTTTCTGTGCTCCACGTTCTTGGCAGCTGACGGCACCACTCCATATTGAACTCAGATGGAGCCAAGTGTCCTCAGACTCTGTGGTGGAGGGTGAAAACACCCTATCTGGAGAGATTGTTTTCACAGTATGCCGAAAACTAATTACAAGCAATAAATTAATTTCACGCTACTGCTTTAGAATTAATTGCATCTTTACTGAATTGACTGGAAGTGATGGCTCAAGCAGCTCTGATAAGGGTGGACGCACAAAGTGGTCTATTGAATTATGTCAGTGGCTTATCAGTGCCATTGCTTTACATCGGGACGCATTTGATAATCCTTAAAGAAAAGATCTAAAACTCTCGTTGGTTGTTTTAGTTGCTGCTAAGGTATCTTTGTCCCGCAGCTCCCATGGTACACACACACACACACACACACACACATATGTGCACAACTGAGCATGTTGTTTTGTGCAGTAGGCTTTTACACTTGGTCTTTTGCACTACATAACTGTGTTTTTAAATGAAAATGTAAGTCAGGGTAGTGGCAGGGTGATGCCAAATGAGGCATCTTATCATATAAGATCTGCTACCAGCATGTCAGTTTGGACCTCCTTGATACATTTCACACCCGTTGAATTGGTAAGCGTCTTATAAATAAACAGTGTGTCAAATGATTTTTGCTGTTCAAGCAACATTCACTCCTAGGTCTTTATCCTGTGTCATCACTGTGAACAGTTTAGTGGTCAGAGATTCCCAACTGTCATATCCACAACATGCTAAATATCTGGCTTATAAATACAGCACATGGAATTCTTCAGAAATTCTTCAGAGTATTTCCAAAAATACCACAGAATTTGAGTCTTCACAGCTTTTCATCGCGGATTTCTAGAATACCAGTGATAAACACAAGCTTTTTATTTCTGCAGAGAATATTAATTAAAAAATGAAGATTATTGGTAAAATAGGGGTAAGGGCTGCTGTCAGTGCTTGGTGTGCCTTCTTTAGATATTTGGGCTAACTGCTTATTTTCATTATTTGGAGTTAAGTGACTTTCCGATTCTCATAATTGGCCCCAGTGGGATTTTTGTGCAAAAACCTTTGATGTTCACATCTCGTTTCACATCCTCCATAATTGTGACAGTATTATTGTAATATGTACAGATAATATTGTTGTATTTTTTAGCAAGATTCCAGTGTTTGATCATAGCGAGAGACCGATTTCATTCCAAGATTTAATTTCCCTTTGCCCCCCCCCTCTCTGCTGTCATCTTTGATACTCATCACAACATCACATGACAGACGGTCCATTCTAGACCCTGTAATTATATTTACAGCTTCAGATTTGTATTTCATCACACTGATGCATGATCCGCACGTCATCTAAGCAAAAGTTGGTGAATTGTTGACAAGCATCAATGCTTTTTTATATTATCTATAAATTAATAATCCATAATCGGCCTAAGCATAATGAGATCAGGAACTCATGGGGGATTTTAGTTAGGGTTTCAATACATTTGTTATACCATATTATTTATTCATGGAGGTCTGTGCATAATGTAGCTAAGCTTGTTATCTACAAAATCTCACCATTTCAAATAGGTTATCAATAATTAATCAAAAGTGATGTTGATTGGACCCTACAGTGAATTTCCTGTTACTGGAAATCTGTTTTAAAGAAGATGGCTAATAAAGTACTTCACTGTCCGTTGTAGCTAAACTTTGGGGCAACAGGTACAGCACTGCTGACATTGAGAAAATTGGATAATTACAGGTAAGGCACAATGATGTATGTTACTGTATGACCCTGTACTGTATGCACCTCTTTGATCTGCAGAAGACTGGAGGTAAAATATTAGCTAGGAGTCAGTAGGTGTGCCATGCATACTGTACATGCTCAGTGTGCCACACCCAGTAAATCATTTACCAGAGTACAGATAGAGACAGAGCAAAATGGTCAACTGTTTCAGCTTTAATATACTGTTTTATCATTGTGCCAAAATACAGAGTCAAAACTGAACAGGAGGGCTTTTTTTTTTTTTACAATGTTAATAAAAGAAATCATACTGTAACAAGGAACCCAAGCTATAAGAAAAGCCTTTAGTGCATTTAGTAGTTACAGCATCCCTTTCTTAATCATTTTATTTATTTATTTATTCTGAATTTCCATTAGATTAAGCTGAGATTTATATAAAACATCTGCTACGGTAGCCTAAATTCACAGAGAGAAAAAAAATCTTTAATGACCATACTAAATGAACTTTGACAACTTAATATACACATATGGGTATGTCAGATTCAGGACAGGACATTTTTCTTTTCTGTTCAGCTTTTCTTATATCTGGTCGCTATTGTATTCAGACAGTTGCAGGCAATGTCAGTAACACCTCACTCCTCCCGTTCACACCCTTGTGCTGACTTTTGCAGGATTACTGTCAGAATGTTGCAGCAACCTTTATGACACTGAGTGCTGAAACTACGCCCCCGCCAGCGGTCAAGAGCTGTGCTGGAATGCGTTTGCACAGATAATTACTGTATGACTTGGAAAACCAGTGGATAATTGTCAGCATGTGATTTGAATTAAAGCATTTTCATGTGAAATACTTAAAGGCAGTAAGGTTTTTTTTCTTTAAAAAAATATATTAAATTTAGTAAACTATTTAAAATCAGCCACTCAAATGCAAAATTGTTTCATGAACTGTCAACAAAGATAATTAATGATAACCAAAATTACCAAAGTTAGTAATTGATAGAAAACATATCACTACAACTACCATTATGAACCTGCAAAACAAGCCCCCTGCCATTCTCTAAAAGGATAAGTGGATATAGCGAATAGGTGGATGGAAAAACCCAAAGCAAACAACAAATATACAACACAAAATATGTACAACTGACTGCATCTGCATAATTTTCAGTGCAAAAGACCAAAAAGCAGCAAAGAAAACAAAAAACAAAAAGCAATATATGCACAAACTGACGCCATCTGCTTGTTTTTTGGGGGGTTTTCCCCTCATTCATGTTTAGGGGCATGCCAAGCATTCAGATCCCAGACCTCTCTGCATCCTGTACAGTATACTGTAAGGTAAACACCATTGTTTTTGAGCTTCATTGTTCATGTGTGTTTGCAGGTGTCGGCAAGAGTTTTGAACTTTGGTCCAAGTGTGTTAAGGAAGTCAAGGTTATCGTTGTCACCATAGTCACTGCAGCATCCCACAGAGCCAGCTGCAGAGCCCGCCCCTTCAAACCCGTAGGAGTGGATGATGTCGTCTGCGTACCGGCCGTCCTCCTCTGTTCCCAGGTAGGCTAGTTTCTGCAAGACAAAAGGGAAGGGAGAGGAAGTGTGTTATTGCTCAGTGTGTGGACTCAGCCTGAGCTATGGGAGGGGACATACTAAACCATGTGAAAACACAAGGCTGCTCATGATATGACTGGCAGCCAGATATTACACACAAAACAAACTCACCCACAAGTTAGGAAAATAATATTTCTCACCAAGAAGCTGAGAAATATTAAAGTTGATGGAGGATACTATCATAGCTTAGAGAAGCAAGATTATATTACAAATCAGGCTTACCTTAGCTCTTACGGATAACAAAGACGTTATTAAACCTCAGAAAGGTGTACACATCTGGACACATGTAATTTTGTCACATCATCTCCCCCCTTTGTGTGCCAATTTTCTAACGTTTTATTGTACCATATACAATAAAATAGGTGTGAAGAAGAGCTGAGTCCTGGACATGGTACCTTTTGTCAAAGCTCACACCGCTAGCAAGAAGATAAGCTCCATTTAAATGTTGAGCACCATACTGACTTTCATACTAGTCATAGTGGGCTGAAACGATTCATTGATAAAATCGATTAATAAAATGCATCGACACAAATTTTGTATCGATGCTTCGTTTAATCCATTTAACTACACAGCACAGTGTTTCGCCCGGACATTTATTACTGTGGCACATTGCGCTTCGGTATGAACAGGACGTGATTATAATGGAGCTGTTTGCAAAGTGGAGGAAGAGAGAGAAAATAGCGAGGGACGAAGAAGAAAGTGTCCAAAGTATGGGATTATTTCAAGTTAAAGAAAATAACAACTCTGTAATGTTACCGTCCGTCCATCGTAAAACAAAACTTATGTCGCCTCGGCAACAGTCGGTAACGTTAGCATTTAACTGAAATCATGATTGATTGTTGATTTGAAACCAAAGTAAGCCGCAGACCTCAGCTGAAAATACTGAGTGAACCAAAAATATATAATTAGCCATTGTACTTGGCACCAAGCACATTTTATTGTGAGCACTGTCAGATGTGAGATCAGTCATGCATCATTACACAAACAACCTGAGAAAAGGAAGTCGTCTTTGAGACAGTTGTGGCAGGTTTAAGCAGTAGTTCAGTTATTACAGAATATACAATCCAGCATTGTTCCATTATTTTAATAAATTCCCAAATGTTCTGTTCAATTAATTGTTCCTTTCCCTGCAAAAACTACATACTGTGAACGCCACAACGACTTCAAGACTTGCCGTGACGGCAAGTTGTGTGAACGGCACGGCCATCGTGTAGTCTGCACGAGCCTTTAGTATAACTTGTATAGCACTCGGGTGATGTTTGTGTTTGTAAAGTAGCTGTCTAGTTGTTGGTCTGATGTTTGCTGTATGACACACTATAAACGTGCACAGCTGATTGAGGGGAAGGTGCCGCCGCCGTCGCCACCAAGCAAAAGTACTTCTTAAACAACGCATCGATGAATCGTTTAAATAATCTTTCGAAACGTCGAATACTAAAATCATCGTTAGCTGCAGCCCTAAAGTAAATAAAAGTAAGGTTCCCTTACAAAGGTATGAGCCCAGGCAAAGTCCATATAGGCAAGTCATGCCACTCGGCAGCCATCTTGGCAACGCCTCCGGGCAGCTACTTCGGACTAACAAGACCAGGCTACTATCTGAATGAATGGGAAGAGAGCCAAAACTGCCCTTTCACCGGGAAATAAAAACTACATGAATATAATCAACAGTAAAATCTAATGAAAATCGCTGGAAAAGTTTGTTAACTTTGCCCCAAAATAATGTTAATAAAGCAGTTATAATTCTACTACGCATGCATCACTACTACCACGCATGCGCAGTCTAAGTAAAACAGACCCTTACGTCAGTGGAATCACAAGATTGGCTGAAATATGTTTCTGGCTTTGGTTGTAAAAAGCAGAAGTTTGGCTTTCTAGCGGGAGGGGCGGGATAACCGCCATCTTTGCCATAACAGGCTTTCCCCATAGAGTTGTATTGAGGATGTGATTGAGAGGCGTGTCTCCGCTGAATTGTCTCTGGCCCAATCAATGCTTTCATTATTATGTCTTTACCACTTCTTCCCCTGGGGCTTCAGTGTTTGACTTGAGCAGGATTCCACTACTGTCTGCTTCATCCTTCAGTTTCAATGTGTCACCCTTTGTCATGCAGAAAAAGGCGAGGAGTAGGCCTGCAATAACAAAAGTATCTGACAAATGATCACACAAGGATGGTGCAGTTTATAATAGACAGTGCTCCACGTGTGGTAGACGTCACAAGAGTGAGCATAATAGCATTATAATACTTCCATGTATCATTGCTCAGTACCAAAGTCAGCGTCAGAACCCCTAACTTTCTAAACAGCAAAGCAAACACAATTCTGTTGGCAAGAATATAGCAGGGGAGACTCACCGAGCAGAAGGAGGAGGGCAAGAGGCAACAGCATAGCCAGTAAAGCCAGTGGCCCTAATGACACAGAGCTTTGCTTGGCCAAGCAGGCTCCATTCCTGCACTGGCAGATCCTTACTTTCACCGTCTGTGTTTTACCAAAGCCCTGCAGATCTGTGACGTAGATGGGAACAGTATGTATCCCTGTAGGAAGCTCTTTGATGTGCTGCAACGTTGCTGTTGCGTCTAAGGAGGGGACGAGACGTATATTTTTTATTGTTAGAAATAACGCAACACTGTGCAACAAATGAATTTGTCAGGACAGATCAGAGCATGTGTTCATCATGATGCTTTCAGCAAATCCATCACTCAAATATGTCATTTTGTATCAAATTCATGTAAAATATATTCAAATTCCCAAGAAGTTGAGGACAACTTTGCAACAAAAAAATTTGCTGCCATTAGAAATGGAAAGAAGTTACTTGTACACCCACTTAACCAGCAGCAAAATAATATCAAAACATAGTGTGCCAATTCTTATTTTTCATATTCATGCGTGCAGCAAAATTTCTGTTTCTAGAATCCATCCATCCATCGTCAACCGCTTATCCTGCATACAGGGTCGCGGGGGTTTCTAGAATCCACTTGTTTAATATGTATGTCCCATATAGAACCCAACTGATAAATCCGCCAGTACCGCTGTCCACTATAAGCTTATCAGCTAACTATAGGTTAGCAAAAAAATTGTAGAGATGTTTACGGCACTTTAGACACAGTGTCAGCAAGGGATCCCCATTCAGTCATTTGCCAGGAATGCTTCGGTTAGATTTGAGTAAGTGGTTTATTTTGATAGCTTTCACATAAAAAAACATCTGAATGAATTACTAAGACCTGATTTGATCTGTGTGAGTAGTTTGAACACTTCGTACAGAGCTTTTACAGATGTTTCCAGAATGTTTTGCTGTTGCTGAACATGTCTCCAGTTAACTAGACAAGCTACATGATGTGGGTTACAGATGTAGAAAAAAGTATTCAAACAGCCCCATTAAAACTTCTCTGTCAAAACTGCAGTTTTTTTTGTTTTGTTTAAGACACTCTCCAACAGATGTAGATAAATGGTTAAAAATACAACCACCTACCATTAATTCTTGTCACAGACCATGTGCCATCATTATTGTCTAGCAAACTAAAGCTGAAGGGGGAAGAAAAGGGAGACCCATCCTTGTCTTCAGCGACAACCAGCGACAACCAGCACGGAGCCACTCCCCACCAGCTCACCGGTGGGGAGTGTTGGCATGTTGTCGTTGACGTCCTCCACCACGATGTTCCTGTGCCTGTCTTGGAGCCTGAAATACATTAGTAATTCATTAGTACTTTAAGACAAATACAAGCATGTTGGTACTGAGAACAAAAACAAGATAGACATAGTTGGTAGCATTCTGACATCAATTGGGTGTCAGTTACCTGGAAATTGCAAATTCTGGCTCAGTTTTCTCCGTCACAACAGGACGGTGAGTTATTGTAAATTAGTCACATCATAACTTGTCAACAGGTGTTCTCAGGTGACACAATGTGAGGACAAAACTGTATTGTGTTTAGACAGGTACAGGCAAGGGTGGGGCTGGTGTTCCTAATAACCTCCAGCTGATTTAGCAATACCATCCAAAAGGCGTGAAGATGGTGATTTAACATGTGGATTTACTTTCCCAAACCAACGGTTTCTTGGTGACAGTATAGAGGATCTTTGCCAAACCCAACAGAGACAGTGGGTTTATAAAACAGGTAACAGATATGATTAAAGATTTAGGACATTGGTGCAGTGTTGTAGCCTGTGATCAGTCAGGTGATCCCATATGCAGAGGAGATATGTTGCTCAGATAATAACACAAGCTCAAGTATTTAAGTCTTTTGTGATAGAACAGCTTGGGTTCTGTGTGGAGTCTGTGGCTTATAGAAGTCATAGAAAAGGAAATGTACAAGCAACTTACTTGCATCAACAGCCTTCACGTTGATGTTGTAAATTCCATCCTGGACAAAGTGTGACTCTCTGTCAATAGTACTTGCAACCTTCAGCTCTCCGGTGTTTCTGTCGACATTGATCCAGGAGATCTATGGCCTTGTAATACCTGAGAGACAATGGAAAAAGTACTTGTGTGTTAGTAGCACATTCTTCATTTCAGCAGTGAAAGTCTGCCCTCCAGTGTTTAAGAGAAGTAACAGAAACTTGAGAGTGCTGCAGTTGAATCTGTTGTCAGACATACTGTACCATGGGAAAGTGAATTTCTTTAAGACAATGCTCTGGGTCTCGGGATCTTTAGCTGTGTAACTTCCTATCACCGTGCCGTTCGGTGTGTTCTCTTTGACATTGAAGCGGATGGTGGGAGCTGCGAATTCCAGACCTTCATCGACATTGATGACATTGACAGGGACAGACAGCCATTGGGAGCTTGGTGCCACTCAGGTCAGTTTCATTGCCATAATGTCAAGCTTTACGTTTTTGGTCTCATAATCTAAGGGCTGGAAAGTGTAGTATAAATAAAATCTGATGTCACGGTTGTGTTATAGGCCTTGACTTTCCATAATATGCAAGTCTCTATGTCATGTTACAGTATCTCACAAAAGTAAGTACACCTCACATTTTTGTAAATATTCGATTATATATTTTTATGTGACAACACTGAAGAAATGACACTTTGCTACAATGTAAAGTAGTGAGTATACAGCTTGTATAATGTAAATTTGCTGTCCCCTCAAAATAACACATCACACAGCCATTAATGTCTAAACTGCTGGCAAAAAAGTGAGAACATCCCTAAGTGAAAATGTTCAAATTGGGCCCAATTTTCCATTTTTCCCTTTCCGGTGTCATGTGATTCATTAGTGTTACAAGGTCTCAGATGTGAATGGGGAGCAGATTTGCTAAATTTGGTGTTATCGCTCTCACACTCCCTCATACTGTATCTTTGGGAAATGGACATATGAGTGTTGCCAGTATTGCTGCAGAGTTTGAAGGGGTGGGGGGTCAGCCTGTCAGTGCTCACACCATACGCCGCACACTGAATCAAATTGGTCTGCATGGCTGTCGTACCAGAAGGAAGCCTCTGCCAAAGATGATTCACAAGAAAGCCCGCAAACACTTTGAAAACAAGCAGACTAATGACATGGATTACTGGAGCCATGTCCTGTGGTCTGATGAGACCAAGATAAGCTTATATGGTTCAGATGGTGTCAAGCATGTGTAGCAGCAACCAGGTGAGGAGTACAAAGACAAGCGTGTCTTGCCTATAATCAAGCTTGGTGGTGGGAGTGTCATGGTCTGGGGCTGCATGAGTGCTGCCGGTACTGGAGAACCATTGAGAGAACCATGAATGCTAACATGTACTGAGACATACTGAAGCAGAGCATGATCCATCCCTTCTGCGAATGGGCCACAGGGCAGTATTCCATCATGATAACGACCCCAAACACACCTCCAAGACGACCACTGCCTTGCTAACGAAGCTGAGGGTAAAGGTGATGGACTGGCCAAGCATGTCTCCAGACCTAAAAACCGTATTGAGCATCTGTGGGTCATCCTCAAACGGAAGGTGGAGGAGCACAAGTCTCTAACATTCACCAGCTCCTTGATGTTATCATGGAGAAGTGGAAGGAGGACTCTATAGTGCAAACCTGTGAAGCTCTGGTGAACCCCATGCCCAAGACGGTTAAGGCAGTGCTGGAAAATAATGGTGGCCACACAAAATGTAAAAAGATTGACACTTTGGGTACAGTCACTACTTTACATTGTAGCAAAGTGTCATTTCTTCAGTGTTGTCACCTGAAAAGATATAATCAAATATTTACAAAAGTGTGAGATACTGTAAATAGTTGTACTACTACTAATTTCATAGTAATGATTATAATACAAAATCTTACTCACCTTTGCATCATACAGAAGCTCCACAACATTGGCCTCATACTAAAGGAAACAAAACATGCGTTACTTAACTTCCAACCTTATAGGAAAACAGGTTAAAAAAAAAACAACATTAGTTTAATGGTTTGATGAAACTACAATGAAACATAACAGGTGCCTTTTATATAATCACTTACAGATGTTTTTGTGAAAGTGGGTGGGTTGTCGTTGATATCAGCCAGAGCAATGGTTGCTGTTCCTGTGGTGGACAAACCATTTTCTGCACCGTCCATATCTTTGATTTGTACTGTCACAGTATGCTTGTCTTTTAAAGAAACAATTTGACAAAATGAAATGAGAAAAGGGTAAATATTTTGTTAAGTTGAGGCAAGAAACAAACACAGAGCGTTTGCATCAGCTAATTTCTGTGTCATATTTCAGAGTAAATCATGAGTACAATGAGGCCGGCGCTCACCTCTCTGTCCAGGGTGTTAGTTGCTGTGGTGATGACTCCTGTCGCTGGGTGGATGGCAAACAGGTCTGATCCAGTCAAGAGACTATACCTGATCTGGACGTGTCGAGATCCTGGTTCATCTCTGTCTGTAGCATTCACCTTGCCTACCACCGTCCCTGTGTTGTAAAACATGATCATGGAGTTTATTATCACCCTCACTGAAGATCAAATACCTCAGGATTACTGTTGTCTACTTCACGTTCCTGACCTGGGTTGCTTTGCTCGAGCACAGTAAACTGCAGTGCATCTTGGAATGTTGGAGCGTTGTCATTCTCGTCATCTACTTTTATGGTGATGTCCAAAGGACAGTCTGTCTCCTGATTTGTTACTTTGTTAAAAACATGACACCTTTTGCAATGTGGGCGCAGAAGGTGAGTTTTCAGTAGCTTAAATGTTGAGATTCAGTCTTTCAACTGCTATTTGAGCACGTTTTATGGCATGGATGTATTTTTCATTTCATTGCTTTATAAAAGTTAATTTAGAACAATGTTTGGAACACTTTTGAGGATGTTGAATAAATTAATCTCATTTTTGAAGTGACAAGAAGTTTTTTTAAAGTGAGGCGGAAAACCACTTCTTCAGTGCCCGAGTCTTTTTACTGTGGAAACGCCGACACAGCTGAGCTGAAAGAATAAGGCTGATATTGTCATACAGCCTATAAGAACACATCAAATCAACATATTATTATAGACTACGCCTGTTCATGTCTCCCAGCATGCGTCAGCTGCAGCTGTGCTACTTAGACTAGGCTTATGTCGTATTTCTGTAGTGTTAGCCTACAGTTTGCTCGTTTGTAAAATGTGACACTGATGCCAGTGGACTCATTTCTGCGATTGGTCATCTGCTGCTAGCAGCGCCTCTTATGTGAGTGCACTCACGGCTGGATTAGGAAACGCTGGGTTGACTTACCGAGTTGATAACCAGCTTCGTGGTACCGCTTATCCTGACCCCGATTGGGTTAGTTAAGCCAGATGATATCCTGGGTATGCTGAACTTGCTTCGTGGTACAGGCGGGTGTAGTACACATTGTACTTGGCTGAGGAATATGATACAATCTACAACAGAAACCAAAACATTTACAAGTAAACACAATGAAACACAGGTTCTGTTATTCATAAACCATCTATTGTTAGGAGTGTGGTTTGTATTCATGTTTTCCTGTTTAAGTCTGGTTTTGGTTCTGTGTTTCTCTGTGTAGCCTTGTTTATTATTTTATTTATTCGCATGTTCTAGTTTACTTAGTATCTGTTTTCATGGGATTGGTTTTGTATTCTGTGTTTCTATAGTTTTATTTGATCTAAACTGCGAACAAAAGACTAAACTTATAAGTTTAGTCTTTTGTTCATTCGCATGTTTGAGTTTTGTTAGTATCTGTCTTGTCTCATATTCTAGTTTTGTCTTGCATTTTAATTTGTGTCTTAGTGTCTACTCCTGGTCTGTGTACTTCTGTATTATTTTGTCCATGTTTGCTCTGTGTTCTGTTTAATCTTTGTTCAGTCTGTTTTCCCTGTTAGTTGTAGTTTATTGGTATATTTGTGATCTGTCTGCTTGTGTTCTGGATCAGTTATTTATATTATTCTGTTTCTTCCTGGTTATGGTGTCTGTCTGTTTTCCCCTGCTGTCTCTCTGCCTGCCTGTGTCTCATTAGTCCTGATCCCTCTCACCTGTGTTGCTCCCGCCCCGCTTGTTAGTCCCTGTGTACATATGCCTGCTTGTGTATTCAGTCTTGTTCACGTCCTTGCATCAAATATTGAGTGTTCCTGCCTGTTCTTAGTTTCAGGGATTTATTCCTCGCATTTGCATTATTTTCTCTACCCTGTTCTGGATATTACTCTGCCCGTTTGTAGATGCCTTTGTTTGGACTGTGCTCCTGAGTAAGGCTGTTTAAGTTGCTTAATAAATCTTTTGTATGAACTGCATCCTCCTTAATGTGGTCTGCGTTTGGGTCCTCACCTCAGTCTGCACTAATCCATGACATCTATCAAAGTTAAGGAAGCCCTCTGCCTCTTTTAGCCTGCAATACATTGTAATAGCTTAAGGGGGAAAACATGTGGCTCCATGAGATCTTTAGGTAGATTTAAATAAGCAATCTTGTAGTATATAAAAACACAAAAGGAAGTAATCACTGCATAAAGCCAGCTGAAAGTCATGTAATTAAAAGGGGTGTGTGAATCAGATCATGATCAGATAAAGTCCATAACCATTCTGACCTACATAAACCTGCTATAAAAATGATACATTCATCAGTAAGCTTACCTCTCTTGGCTGCATTGTATTGTGGACAAGGTGAACTTCCATCTCACTTCCCGGCCCACTATCGTCCTGAACCCACACAGAAAATGTCTGCCCTGCCGCTGCCACTGACACCGGAGTTAAAGTTTCAATTACTCCATTACTCTTTAGTGTAAAGCGTGGGTCCTTCAAAGTAAAGAGTACAGATTTGGCGTCACAGCCGGCAACTGAAAACCGAGAAAGGGTAAAGGTGGAGAACAAAAAGTGCCATTTTAACAGCAAATAATTGCATAATAATGACATTCCTCTTTATTGTTGACACCAAAGAGAAAGTATAACACTCATAACTGTACATTTGTATCGATAAAGACGTTTGTTTGTGGACAGAGAATATAAAACAAAAGTGGACCCACTCACCAACACCAGGCAGATGTTGAAAAATAAAACCCTCGCAATTTTTGAAAACTTAAGACAGACTTTGTCCCCGGTCTGTAGGAGGAAGCTGGACGCAAGTTACAACAACCGGAGAATGACGGATGATGGATTGGTGTCTCCGTTAAAAGCCCAAAAGTAGAAACTCGTCTGTTCATGCACTTGCCTGCTCTCTGTAAAGACGGGCGGACTTGTCTCTGAGCCGCGGTTCCCGTCGATAACAGACAACAGACAAACACACCTTAACTGCCAGCAGGGGGAAACATTGCTTTATACTCTTCCAGCCAAAGTGATTCCGTAAAAAAACAATGTCCTGTAGGGATATTCTATTTACTTGTATTCATGCCGGGGTTTTATACTAGAGTAAGTTAGGAAAAGTTATACAAACAAGTAGGCTATTTGTAATAACTCAAGTAGGTTACTGTTTGTCTGTCTGCTTGTATTTCAAGAGTATCTGGTCTGAGACACTTCTCTCAGCTCTACACAGAAACTGACCCCTGCATGCCTCTCCTCTCCCCCCTAGAGCTCTGCACCAGAGTTCTCATAGGAGGAACAAAACTGGGCTCCTCGCTTAATAAACTGGCTGAGTGTAAACTAAGCCATATCGAAATATTAACAAATACATGACTTTTTCTGGATTTGCATGGTCTGCTATTAGGTTTTAATTCAGCTCACAATACAACATAAACCATGCTGTTAATTTGGACTAATACAGTCCATGATTGCTGACAGACTGCTACTATACACCAGCATTAGGTGACCTATTTCTGAAATGAAAACCGGGGACATTTTTGGTTTGGTGGTCAGTGTGTCATTAAAAAATATAATGTTATTATATATGAAATAAAAAGGGGACAATTTCAGTTTTATTATCTGTTAAATATAACCTTCATGAATATAATCAAGTAATTTCAGGGCAGAAATAACTTTACAGTCAATAGACAGTGACATTCTGGCAAGTAGAATACTGCTTTACATTGTATTGGCCATTTAAAGGTATTTTAAAAGGTAAAAAGGGACTAGATAGGTTGCTACATGAGGATAACTGAAGAGATCATGTCTTTATTTTATAGGCTAAATAACTCAGCAGTAAGTCATGTTAATTATAGGTTACATTCCGATTTCCAAATATAAACAAGGATATTAGACATAGGCCTACCAAACACATAATCCATCGGCAACAACATTCTTCTATTATTGCCTATAATCCTATAATCACGTGAATGTCATGCCTGGTCACGCTATAAACTCCTAAAACCTATTTGGCCACAATTGTGATTATTCCATTAAAAGAAACGTTATAGTATCACAAAGACGTACCTTTGCTGTGGACATAAAGTAGTTTTTTCACGTATTATGTCTGTGTGATCCAGATGCAGCTGTAGCCCTAAAGAGACTGGGTGATACAGCAACTTTTCGGCACGACACCTGTATGCTCTGCTGTCCAGTTTTTCTGGCCACATAAAAATGATTTCATGTCTGTTAACACCTCATGGTGTTACAGTTAAAAACGGGGGACATTTCCGATGACAGCTCCAGACGGGGTCAGGCCACCAAAACCGGGGACGGTTCAGGGACGTCTTGTCACCCTACCCCACCATATTCATTTATTGGCCACAGAAATGTTCCTCCAAAAGCGGAGGATGTACTTCCTGCGCCAGTTCAGAAAGCTCACCCTACCTGAGGACCTGCTGATCCAGTCCTACACAGCCATCATCCAGTCTGTCCTCTGCACATCCATCACTGTCTGGTTTGGATCTGCCACCAAAAAGTCAGGACTGCAGAAAAAATCAGCAGTGCCAACCTGTCCACCATTCAGGACTTATACATTTCCAGAGTCAAGAAATGGGCAGGAAACATCACTTTTTCCCATAAAATATAAATACCTATTAATAGAAATTAGAAAAAGTGCTCAAATCTAATATGGAGGTGTGTCTCATTTCCACAGTGCACAATTACAATTCGCCATTGGTTTGGAGTCCCTGGTTCATATTAAATGGAAGCTACTGAAAGAAAATGCATTACTTTAAAATATTAATAAATATTAATATAAAATAAAATATGCATTCAATCTTAATATAAAGAGGTGTGTCTCATTTTTCTAGTGTGGTTCTACTATTCGACATTGGTTTGGAGTCTCTGAATCATTTGACATGGAAGCTATTGGAGAAAAAAGCATTTTCATTTTCTCCCTTAAGATAATAATAAATAGCAATATAAAATAAAATATGCACTCATTTCTAATATGAAGAGGTGTGTCTCATTTGCCTAGTGTAGTTCTACAATTCAGCATTATTTGGAGTCCCTGAATCACATGACATGGAATTTATTAGAATAAATGATAATTCTTCCATTACACTGTTTTAACATTAGTAATTTATTAATGTTCCCTAAGCTAACCCCTGGTGGTTAAAAGCAAGCCATCAGAGGTGAGCTATACTGCCAACACTGGGTGAACTGAGTAAGAAGCCGTCACTGGATCATGGGTGAATATCCAACTTAAAACTAAAATCACCACAGTGTTAATGCTAATAGTGCTAATTCATGCTCATTCATACCACGGTGGCTCCATCAGTAACAACAAGCCTCTCCACACGCAGCTCACACGTTGCTGTGAAAACGGAGTCACGGGTGAAAAGTATGAAACGCAAGTTGTCTTTATAAAACTGCTGACAAATAAAGTCAGAGCAGACAGATACATGGAGAGAGAGAGAGAGAGAGAGAGAGAGAGACAGGTGTAGGTGTGTGGTTGTGTGTCTGGAGTAAAAAAGCAAGATGAGCAGATTACTTTGTGAGTAAACACTAAAATAAAGTGGAGCATTAAGTAGAATTAAAATGGTGGGATTAAAAATAAAATACTAGGGTAAATAGGGTAATGTATTCTTCAAAAAATTCTTCTATTAAAATATTTTTCATAATGGCATAATATTTAGTTGGATTTTATTTGTAACAGCTCACTCAAAGTGAAAATGCCAACAATGTCTAATTATCAATGTTTCATTATGACCATACAATTGAATGGACCTCGTGAGAATAGCCAACGTTTATGCTGGTGCTGATGGGGATAATAATAAAAAAATAATTTTCCAATAAAGAAAAGTTACAATAATAATAAACCTATGTGAACTGATATTAGGCTAATAATGTAGATCTACCATTGTGTTGGGTTTTGCTCAGCATGATGTTAAGTGGCAGATCAGTTGGCTTGCTGCAGTTGAATATCTAAGGAAGAGACGTCCTCTGTCCCAGAGGAAACCTAAAATACGTGGAGGATGCCAGATTAGGATAATATGACCAGTGGTGAGCCTATGAACCTAGGTCATATTTAAACAACTATTGCTTTGGGTTGTACAAAAAGTTATGGCAATTTGGTAACATCACGGTCTCTATGTTACACAAATAATAGTAGTAAGACTTTCCTCCATGTACACATATACTACACAAGTACAATTTTGGCTGTATTATTTGTGGCCCCTTTCAAAAATTTCGCTTGAGAAATTTTATGTTTATGTCATGGGGACAGGGCTGGACTGGGGGAAAAAAAAAAACGGTCCCGGCATTTTTGGCCCAGGCGGCCAAAAATCTTGTGTGACGTTGCACAAGATTGGGACCATGACAACAAGACAAGAATATATTTTAATATGCTACTATTTAGAAAAGAAATGTATTGATGAAATATTTGATTGGAGGGTCTGGGGGTCCTCCCCCCGAAGACCTTGAGCATTAAACACTTAATTTCTTGCATTCTGGACATTTTCTGCATCAATTTATGGTGGAAAGAAAAATATTTAGGTGGCAAGTGACAATTCAAAATATAAAAATATAATAGAATATAATGCAGTTATCATCTATATTTACATTGCATTGCAGGCTTATTGTGCAAATAAACCTTTCTCATAGCATTTTTGTTTATCAAATTATTGTTCAGAACAATTTTAACAAATGCTTTCAAAAAGTGGTGGCTACATGTCCCCAGCATCCACAGTGTAAATGACCCTACCTCCCTGCTCCCTCCCTACAGGTTAAGCTACTCCATGCTTACCACTTCACCTCCATTCTCCTCCTGCTCTCTCTCTCCCTGAACCCTGTCACTTTGTCACTCCACAAACACACGCATCCTCCTCTGCTTGGCAGTGGCCACAGCTCTCCTTCCCTCCTTCAAGTGCCTGTGCTTTTACTACATCGGGTATTGCAGCTGATGTTGAAGCTACTGCAGCCTGTAGCAAACATATCAGTTATTTTTGCGCATTTGGAGAGCAAAGGCGGGGTTGTTTGTGAGCTTGGAGGACCCAAATGCAGGACACAGTGCAGAGCAGGATCAGTTCATGAGGTTTATTTAAACAGAAAGCGTCCTCACAAAAAGGCAGTGGCAGAATCAAGCAAGAAATCCAACAGGAATCCAAAGTGTGAAATCCACATGAAACAAGCAGGGGGAATGGGCAGGCCAAGGACATCACACGACACGAGAGCAAACAAGCTACAATAACCCGACAAGAACAAAGAGAACAATCAAACCTATATAGAGACACAGAGGAGGGCAGGGCGATTGAACACAGGGGAGGCACATAGACAGCCAGGAAGTAAAACTCAGAGAGATGCACAAGGGGACAATAACAAAATAAGACAGAGAGCACAGAAACACATGAACAACAGACCAACATCAAGACCAGGAACAAGAACACAGAGGCAGGTAGTGATGGTGAACAGACAGGTTACAGCACACAAGAATCAGACTACAGTAAGAACCCAAAACACAGACTGAAACACTAAAAGCACAAAACAAAACAAGCCGACTAAATAACTATAACACAGCCAGGCTCCAAACCAAAACAAGGGAACAGATAAAAACAATGATCAAACACAGTACACACAAGGCCAACATTTAACAAGTAAAGAACGACTAGACTGAAAAGAAGAGTTATAATACAACTAATACAGACGGTGCCTAACATAGCAATGGGACAAAAACAGACTCAGACCAGGATGACAGTTTATTGTCCCCCCTCCAGACACACCATCTCCCTTATCTTCCTGTTATCAGAAGTAACAGGCAATCAAGCAGGGAGAGAGGGGGGAACTGCCTATTGTTGCAAAAGTCCCTACCCTCCAAAGGGTCAAAGTCTGTACGGAACCAGCGATGAACTACTGGCAGACTTAAAGTTGACGTGATTTCACTTCAACAGAGTTTAAATTGTGTTATAATTTTTTCAAGAAGATGGCTCCACTGCTGAAATGCAGCCTTTATATTCTGCTGACGTTTGTCCTAACGGTGAGTAAACGATTCCTTATGTGCTTCATACTGTTAGATGGTCATTTTTTTGTGTGTAGGAAAGCTGGTCTTTAACAGGTAGGGCTCTTCTGTAGTCAAAGTTAAACCATTATTTATGCAGTTAAAAGATACGAAAGAGAAAAAGTAAATACGCAGTTTTACGCTTCATGGACATTCTCATATTGTGCCGGATGGCCACGCAGCAGCTCCTCCATTAATTCTTTGCTTTTCATAATTTTATACACACTAAATGTATATGTATGTGTCAGGTGCAACAAAAATAACCTATGCATATATTTTGTAATTATTACACATTAATAATGATCACGTTGTTCCTTCCTCTTTGTTTACCTGCAGCTTGTCCATGTGAGGGCAAAAGGAAATGGGCCACTGTTGCAGAGACAGAAGAGAGAATGGACCGCAGCTCCCCTGCATCTATTCGAGAACCAGGATTACACCGGCTTGGCCAGTATTGCTAAAGTGTGTATTTTTTTTGTTCTATTTCTGTCTAAAGAATTCTTTAAAAACTGACTATGCTAATTCTTCATTTATTATTGTCAAGTAGATTGATTGTAATTTCCACCGTTTGTTTTTTCAAAGCCTATCTTTGAGTATGTGTGAGAACTGCTTTCCAGACCCCAACAAACGTCAATATTCATAATAAGTCATGAATAAGTTCAGACACAACAACGAATACATCTTTTTTCTGATGTTTAGACACACACACCTGTATTTGATGTTTGAAAGCTTACCTTTTTTGTTATCTCATCTAGTGTTGTTGGTACTGAGCCATGCTGTAATTGTTGGACATAATTTGAAAACAAGGATTACAAAGTGTGTAATTTGTTGTTCTATTTCTGTCTAAAGAATTCTATAACAACTGACTAAGCTCTTAATTATAAACGATGAATTAGCAATTTAACGTAGGCACAGCTACCTTTTATCCCTTAGAATAATTAAATCATTGTCAAGTAGATTGATTGTTTTCCACCTCACTGTTTTTATCCTCATGCAACCTTGGTTTTTTCAAAGCCTATCTTTGAGTATGTGTGAGAACTGCTTCCCAGACCCTACCGAATTTTAATATTCATAATGACTCATGAATAAGTTCTGACACGACAATGAATACATCTTTGTTCTGATGTTTACACACACACACACACACACACACACACACACACACACACACACAAAGACACACCTGTGTTTGATGTTCGAAAGCTTATCTAGTTTCATATCTCAGCTAGGTGTTGTTGGTTCTGAGCCATGCTGTAATTGATGTAATTAACTGAGCTCAGTTTCTGTCAGACAATATTGCAGATCTGTGTGTGGTTGTTCTCATCAGTGCAAAAGCTGGATCCCACACCTCAGCTTAATATAAATATGTCACATGCTTGCATTCACTTGATCTGATAGACATTCATTTGAAATTACGCCTCATAGTATACAGGGAGAAAAAAATAAGTATATTATTTTATCATTAAACGTACAGAAAATAAGCTGTCTTTACACATTTATATGTAATTGGAAGGTCTTCGATTTCTCGATCATAAGAATTCATTTTGTGTTTGTGTATTTGTTTTTCAGATTCACTCTGATAAGTCGAACTTTACAAAGATCACATATTTTATAACGGGCCCTGGTGCACCCCCTGAAGGCATATTTGATATCGACCATGACACCGGCTTTGTGAAAATCTATTCCAGACTGGACCGAGAGAAGATCCCCGTCTATAATGTACAAGCACTTACACATTCTGTTTATAATATCAGCATGTACAGCCATTTATTCAAGTTGTACAGTGAGGAAATGGTAAAGTAGTAATGGTATCTGTTTTTGTAGTTAAAAGGTGTGGCAAAATTCTGCAATGGAAGCCGTGCTGAAAAGGATATTGACCTCACAATTGTTGTTTTGGATGAGAATGACTGTACACCAGTCATTCAAGTACAGCAAGTCGGATATGTTAATGAATCAAGTGCAGCAGGTATTTTAAGACATTTACAGATTATTTGTGTCATGTCAAGTTTTTTAGCTGTATTTAATGAACTAATGTATTATTTCATTCTCTTGTGATTTCTAGATACTTTTGTGATGAAAGTGATCGCTACTGATGATGATGAAGAGGGCTCACTATTCTCTCAGATCGCCTACAGTGTGGAGCAGAGTACCACAGCTGGGATGTTCTACATCAAATCTCAGACTGGAGAGGTCATGGTTCGACGAAACACTCTAGATAGGGAGGTGAGACCCTTTATTGACCTGAAATTCCTCTATTTTTGCCTGGCACAACTAATTCTATTTATTGGAAAAGCTTTCAACTCTTGTGAATAGGTTACATCAAACCCCATATATTACTGCTATTTTGTATGGATAAGTCAGAACACAATAATCACACCATTTTCCACTATTAACATAATTCCCTGTTACTTATTGAATCACATATTCATTGAGAAAGTAAGTTGTAATTTTCAACCAAATATTAATACAGAGTCATACTCTGTTTTACTGGAAACTAAAAACTAGAATGTAGTAATCAGTGCATTGTATCTCTAAATAATTTGTTTTAGAAACAAGATACATATAAGTTGACTATAAGAGCCTCAGATTTGAATGGAAAGGCGAGAGGAAACACAGGAACTGGAGAAATTCTGATCAAAGTACTGGACATAAATGACAATATTCCAACCTTGGAAAAAGAGTCGGTAGGTGTGACACAATTTCCACAATCAGCACTTCTATTGTTCTTTAATTTGGTTCTTTAATAATGTTCAACAGTTGTCCTAAAGTAACTGTTGGTGCTTGTATTGTTTGCAGTATGAAGGTAGTGTGGAGGAGAACACCATCAATAGGGAAGTGATGAGGATCAAAGCCGTTGACATGGATCTGATTCACACTGACAACTGGCTGGCTGTCTTCAAAATAATTTCAGGGAACGAGGCAGGATATTTCAGTATCACTACTGATTCTAAGACCAATGAGGGGATTATCTGGATTCATAAGGTAAAAGAGTGTATTTTTATTTGGATGCACTGAAACTCTAAACAGTGAAATGTCTGAGTGTGAGTCAACAAACATTTTTAAGGCTAACGTGAACTCCATATCCTGCAGTCCTTGGACTATGAGGAACTAAAGGTGGTCAACTTGGAAGTGACTGTTTCCAACAAAGCAGAGTACAATTTTGGCAGTGGGTCCATGACAGGGGCCACAATCACAAAATCCTACCCCATTAAAATCAATGTGGTCAATCAGAAGGAAGGCCCCCGTTTCCAACCAAGTGTCAAAGTGGTGACTGTCTCTGAGGACCACACTTCCACCTCCCTCCACAAAGTCATCGCCACCTATTCTGCTATTGACAGTGACACGCTACAGACAGCCACCAACGTAAGGTACAGCCACAAAGTGAAACATGTTACTAAATAGCAGTATTGAGATATATCTCTGGATTTATGTGTTTACATTCATAGATTATTTTGGTCCTCACATACTTGGATTTTCATCTTTACAGATATGCCAAAATCCGCGATGATGACCACTGGTTGATTATTGATGAAAAGACAGCAGATATCAGGCTGAGTAAACTGCCTGACAGAGAGTCCAAGTTCTTGATCAATGGAACATATTATGCAAATATTATATGCATCACCAATGGTGAGCTGTTTAAATATGAGAGTTATCATTATTCTCCAGTGGTTTAATATGGTGCACTACAGGTTAATATTGAGTGTCTTTCTGCTGGCTTTCAGAGATGCCCTCAAAAACTGCCACGGGGACCATAGCCATTCAGGTGGAGGACTTTAATGATCACTGTCCTAAACTAACCGCTACATCTCAGACCATGTGCCTCGGTGATAATGTCATTTACGCCACAGCCAAAGACGAAGATGAGTTCCCCAATGCAGCACCATTTGAGTTCACTGTGATTCAGGGGAGCAGCAACGGGAAATGGAAAGTGGAGCATCTTAATAGTAAGATGAAGAATTTCGGCTAGGCAGATTTCCATCAAACATCATTAAATGGGCAGCATGCTCTTCAAGGTTTGCATCAAAGCAAACAAACTCAGTAGTCATCTCTAGTTTTCAACTCCAAAACGTCCTAGGTTTGACTTCCAAAATATTAGATTTGTCAAGACTTGCAAGCAAATTGTGATCATTTCAATGCTGCTGTATAAAGAAAAGAAACATTTCTAGAATATAGCCGCAAGTGGCAATGATCGGGATCCAAGCCAGTCGCGAAAAACACAACATATGAAATTTTCAGAAGAGAAGAACAGATGCAGACGACTTTAGAGATTAAAGTAATGAAAGAATTTGGACTTTGAGATGATTGGGGAAACGCATACTGGATTTTTCAAGCATCGCCTTGATATCAGAGAGCGTCATTATATGTACCTGACTACTGGTTGAAATGTTCAACCCACCTGCGACATTTTGTGTTTCCAAGATTTAAAAAAACTCTTTTTAGCAGAGAAAGATAAGAAGAAACTGCTAGGGATCCAAATAAATTAGAGAACTGCTATGATCAGAACACCCCCATTGTCAGAAAGTCTGACTTGGTCAACTGGGGATTTGAATCCTGGACCTGCAGATCTCCAGAGCAGCATTTACTGACTGAGCTACTGGTGAGAGGCTGTTTTCCCACACCTTCTCACAAGTTGAGGTGGTGATGTCACATGTGCCAGAGCCAGATAGTTTTGTCAGTTTAAACTTAAAACGCTTACAACAGTGAAGATGTAGGTGAAATAACTCTGGAAAAAAATCCCACATCATTCTGCTGGTTTTGGGAGTGTTGTTAATTATTTTGGTGGCATTTGATCCAAAAGTGAGTTAAAAAGAAAATGTTGTTCATACTGTACAAGTTACAGGAAGATACTGAATATCACTGCAGACTCTCCGTTTGACCGATCTGAAAACCCTTTGAAACGCTTGATATACTCTGTCGAGTTTGTTAGATTTTTTGAAATTAGGAATGAGAAATGTCTAGAAATTTACATTTCTTGTTATAAGCCACGCCCACTTTGTGCAATCATAACCAATTTTTTTACATCTACTGAGTAGAGACCTGAGATTGTACAAACCAAATTTCGTACAATTACGAGGTATAAACTTTTTGCAAGTGTAGCGCCACCTAGTAGAAGAATATCCCAGGACTGCTCAGTGAAGCTTGGGCCGAGCATCTGAACAGACGCGCTGAGTTTGGTTACAATAGCTTAAGCCAATTTTGATTTACGGGCATTTATGTAAAATAGTACATAAAGACACAAAAGTAAAAATTTGTGGGGGACAAAGAGATACTAAACTAAGCCGTTTTCGTGATAATTGCAAAAACGCAAAGTTGATTGTTATAGCGCCACCATGAGGTCTATGAGGGCCATTTTCTTGCCTGAGTAGTGGGTGGAATTTGCAACCTATGTGCCAATTTTGAGTTTTCGTCCAGCAGTTTTTGCTGCCCAAACACTTTCAGCGGAGAAGAAGAAGAAGAATCAAAACAAAACCAATCCAACTAATTACAAGGCACAAACTTCTCTAAAAGAGCACATTTTAAAATGTTGGTCTCTTCTTTCTTCAGAAACCACAGCCATTCTGCGGGACCAAGGCAACTTGTGGCCAGGGAATTACAAAGTAGCAGTGGAGGTCAAAGACCAGCAGGGAAAGTCATGTGCTGATGTTCAGATGATGGACGTAGTTGTGTGTACTTGTGATGAAAACATTAAAACCTGTGTGCCGCGCAGCACAAGGACTACAGGTTTTGGAGCTTCAGGTATCTTGCTTCTGCTCCAGGGACTGCTGCTTCTGCTGTGTGAGTAGAGTATTAATGATGTCTTTTCTCTTTCTGGTTGATAACGTTGATCAAGAATGATTAACCTTCCCCAACAAAGCTGCCTAACTTGACATGTTGTAGCGCGCTTGGAGAGATAGTAAGACTAATAAGAATGGGTGGGTCACAGGCAGGTTTTGAAAGAGGCCGATAGAATGAAAGTAAGTTTCTGATTGATGATTAGGCTTTTTAGACCTGACAGTATACTAGAGTTCTGTTGACATAGTGGCAAATGTGTGTTTTTCAGCAGTGTCCCTTTTGCTGCTGTACCGCCTGTTTGGAGGTGCAGCAGCTGTTGGAGATTTCCAGGCCATTCCATTTGATACGATACAACAGCTGATCTCATATCACACTGAGGGACAGGGAAAAGACAAGGTACTTTGATATGTGTAGTCCTGATATGAATGGATTGTAAAAAGTTACTAGTAGTTATTTTTAGTTTAAAAAATGTGATGATTTGCCAAAAATGCTGCATCTCTGACAGGATCTCACATATGTTCTCACAGGATGTTCCTCTTCTACATTTCCCAGTGGAAGTTGATGGTGTGGGAAAGGGGTACTTAGGAGGACTGGCTGAAATAGGAGGAGGAGCAGCAGTTGGTGGAGCAGCCTTAGGTGCCATCAACACATCAAGCTTGACAGCTGGGACATCTATGTCTGATGAGTTCCTGTGGCATTATTATTCAAGTGTGAGTACATAAATGTCATTGGTTATAAAAAAAAAGCTTAGAATTTTGGAGTTTGTTTTAATGCCTCAGCGACGAGTCAGTAATTTGCAATTAGCACTAGTTTGCACTGCGAGAATGTCAAAAAACCCCAGCATATATCTTATAAGATATAACCAAGCGGCAAACTTCCGGTCTCCTGCCTGAAGCCAATACGGAAGCATCTGAAACTGCAATTCATCGACTGGCCACTTGAGGCTGGCTGCAGAGGGTTAAAATGCCCAACTTTACAGCTGAATAAAATATGTTTACTGCCTGGTTCGAAAAATTGTTTTATTGCATATCGCTAATTTTGCCCTTCGTGACAACTTTGAGGGGGGTGAATTTTTCACTCACCTGTTTAAATTATATTAAGCCTTAAAGTTCTGCATTATTAGGGGCGTGGCTGCTTTGATTGACAGGCGCCATTAGCCGCTGCCACTGCTAGCACTCGGTCCACCGTCTGTTAGCCTCACTCAGCTACACGGAGCTCTGAAGCTCAGCCTGTCGGAGCCTTTTGGACATTTCTACATGAAGATACCAGATGAATTGGATTGGAGAGAGAACCTCCAGTAAATCAGTGTTCTACTCGGTGAGTGAAATTCCTGTATTTTATTTATGTGTTAACATTTAACAAGTATCGCTCTCGGCATATAGCTTGTTAGCTTAACATTAGCTCGTTACGCTAAATAGCCAGATACAAGCAGCCCCAAGCTGCTAAGTTAGTGTAAGTTAGTAAGTTAGTGTGTTCTAACCGCAGCTTTTAATGAGTCAAAGACAAGTCAGCAAGAAGAGAGAAGCCAAAATGTAACGTTATTAGATTAACCTTAGTGTTAGACATTAGGGTGATAATGCTTTGAAGAAAAGGTATCTGTGTGAAGTTCTAAGTAAAGGCTCAGCTCTCAGTTAGCTGACATAATGTTAACGGTAACTTTTACTAAAGGGCGATGTGAGATTTAGCTATGTCCTTTAACGGAATCACTGTTCAGTTAGATACTAGTCAGACACTATTATAAGTGGCTTTAGTGGATTAGAATTTGTACAGTTCAATAATAGAATATAAAATAAGATCCTTATAATAAACATTCAATAAGGACTGACTTGAGTAGTTATTATTGCACAGTGTCCAGCAGAAAACCGTATATTGCACATATTAGGAAATCGTGTATTTCACATTGCCACTCCTAATTACTGTCACATGCCAGAGAGGTTATCATGCTGAGGCGATCTCAAAGTTCAGTAGCTTTATGGCTCTTTGGAAGAAGTTTCTTAACTGTCTACCATTGTTGTCTTTACAGGTGCCAGAGGAGCTGATTGCAGAACCCTGCAGATGTGATTTGCTGTGTCCAGCTCTACAGGAGATAACAGCTCCAACTTCCAGCTCTTCAGCTCCTGCTTTTCTTTTTACTCACAACACCTGAACACTACTGATGTGAAATTATGACACTGGGTTCAGTCATACAAAACTACTTTTACATTTGTAACCTTTTAATATTGATGTTTTCATGAATGTAATACAAGAGTTTAATTTATTAAACTATTGCTTTTGTATTAGGAATACTTTGCTATGAAGTGTATCAGACTAATTATATATAATAATATCATTCTTCATTCATCATCAGTTTCATATTTTAATTTTAAATAGTGTGATCTTAACAATATATTATAGTTAACAGCTGTTAATGAAAATATTAAGATGTTATTTATAGGCTAACATTTTACATATGTTAGTAGAAAGTAAAACATGAAAGGTTGATATTATATACCGTTTTATTTTGACATTTCGTTAAGAGATAAATGTGACATTGACTAAGAAGTTACTCTGTAGTGAAAAACAAAGAATTATCTGCACACTGAATAGTTTTGAAGCCCTGTAGGAGGTGTCATTTATTGCGACCTGAGAAGGTCTTGTGTGGTTTACATTGTATAGACTCACCTATTTTCTCCATGTGCATCCGGTCAGCTCTGAGACCTCAGAGTTTGCAAGGTTTCAGCACTTACCCACAGGATGTGTTTAAACTAGACAGAGCAGCAAACAGAGCACTCTTGAGAAACTTCAGGCTCTGGTATACAGTATATGGGTACTGGGTGTATGGCTCCTTATTTATCTTATATAAAGTATAAGTATAAGTACTAGTATAAGGTAGAAAGTAAAAATATTCCTGCACACACAGAAATACACTGCATAATTACTTTTCAACGTTTCATGTGAAACATGTTGGGAGTATTTTCACTTTTCAACTTATCCTACAGTGATGTTCTTTATCAAGAGTTCAGCTTTAATGTTTCATGTTTTATCTGTGGCATACGATTAGCTTTTCAGTAAGTAGTAAAGACAGGGAGTGCTAACATATATAGAATTTATGTATTATGATGAATTATGTGAACCATAAACCATATCTTTTTTTAAATGGACCTATTATACAAATATGGACAATATTTAAAACTCAAAGTAAACAGAAAGAGAACGCCTTTCCACATCAGTCCACGCCATGAGCACAATGAGGACTCCCAGGTCTCTGCAGCTCTCTGGCAGCAGGTGGGACATCTGATCCACAGTGTGACTCTAGGAGGAAAATGTGTAATAAATGCTTCAGGTGATGAAAAATAAACAAAGTTTTGTTTAAAAGTAAACAATACAGATGAGTCTTTAATAAATAGAATATTGTGGTGAAGTAAATTTTCTAACGTAATTCTATTCAAAAAGTGAATCTCTGATATATTCTAGATTCATTACACAAAGTGAAGCATTTCAAACCCATTTTTTGTTTTCATCTTGATGATTACAGTTTACAGCTCATGGAAATAAAAACTCCAGTATCTCAAAATGTATAAACATTTTAGAATAAAAATATATTTCTGTATTATAAATTATACAGAAATGTCAACTGGAGAAAAGCTCTCTAATCAGCTAATTAACTCAAAACACCTGCAAAGGTTTCTGAAGACTGTAATCTCTTAGTCTAGTTCTGATGCTCACAATGAACTTTGCCACGGGAATTAAAATTTTTTCAGATGCTCTGCTAAAAGATGCCTCAGTGTTTTAATGTTGACAGCACTATTATGTCACATTAAGTGGGAGAAATGGAACAAGGGAGACGGTCTTTAAATGTTTTTGTGTTGTCCTCTTAAGACAATTTTATATCAGCTGTCAAGTGTCCAGTAGCCAAGTTGTTCTAGTAACGTTACTTACAGTTAAAGCATTCGTGGAGGCATCAGATCCTCAACAAGAATCTTGTGACAATTATAAAAAGTACCTTTCTCTCAAGTGTCCTATTCCAGACAATAATCCCACACAGCCCTGCCGACAGCAGCTTCCATCATGTGACCAACGTTAAGGACTGTACCGCTACCTTATTCCTTTTATTACAAGTAACATACTGACTTAATGTAACTTAATGTATGTAAAAGGGTTAATTGATTAGCTTGAAATTGTTCGTTTGAGCTGTAACGTTAAGTAAACTTAAGGTAATTAATAACTGATTCATAGTTAACTGTTAATGTTGGTCTCAACAAAATCTAACGTTAGTGTTGCAAAATAACGTTACCCCATTTATATAATTAAAAGCATTTAAAACCTTGTGAAGTATAATGTCAATAACAGATATGTGAGTTATTTAAATATTTTCCGCTTACCTTGATTAGCTGACGACCATAAACTGGTAACAAAACGGACACAGGTTCCAACCTCCACCGTACAGCACCGGGGGTTTAGAAGCTTCCTCTGTTAACGCAGAGTAGCATATAGCATTAGCTCCTTAGCATAAGCTAACTCGGTCATGTCGAGCTAGGCGGGAGTGGTTTCATCAACACGTCACCTCAGCTCCACCCACGACCTGCCTCTTTGCCCATTTATGGGTTATCTGGGAGTGATGCATGTTGCCAAGATGGCGACGGCCAGCTCCGCCTAATTCGGGCTTCAAAACTGCTCTTCAGAAAACAACGGGTGACGTCATGGATACTACGTCCATTTTTATATACAGTCTATGGATATAACTGACATATAGAAAATAGCCAGTTTTTATTATACAGTATCTTTAGGACAAATAAAAGCTGTATCATACTATCACAGTTGAACTATTAAGTAGTATTGACTGTAGACTCAATATATTCTGGTTCTATTTGTTTGCAGAAATCCAGACATGCTGCACAGAAGTTCCTGCAGAAAGACGTTTTGCTCATCTATGACTATGAGGGTCAGGAGTCCCGGGCAGGTTCTGTAGGTTGCTGCAGCCTTCTTGAGAATGATGATGACCTTGCATTCCTCGATGACCTTGGGCCTAAATTCAAAACCCTTGCTGAGATTTGTCATGGGTCAACTTTGGTGACCGGGTCTGTGGATGCAGACCAGTGTCTCCTATGAGGCCCTCCACCTCCACCCACACAGATGTCCCTACACACATAGATACAATCAGGGACAGGGACCACATAAACACCAACACCCTCAACACCTCCAATGTAGCATCTGGATCCTCCACCGTCATCCAGGGTTCAGCCACTGTTCCAAAGGTACATGTCCAAGACAAGATTATGATTCCCAGTCAGACGCTGCTTATACAGCAGCCTGTTATGTACTATGCAGCCACGCCCATGTATGTAGTTGAGCCCAAGCCCAAAATGATGTTTGTGGCAGGTGGCACCCAGTAGACAGTGAGTCAAGCTGGCCAAGTTGGGCTTAGTCAGGGGCTGGTTCAGGATGGTGGCCTCCAAGGTACTCAGAGTGTGGTCCTTGTAGATAGGCAAGTGGGAATGGATGGATCGACAGGACAGGTAGCACAAGGCCTTTCGCATTGTTTTAATTATTGTTGAAAACAACAAACAACACAAACTGTCATTTGAAAGCACCACTCTCATGCTGGGCTCTAGTAGCAATAATAATGTTTTCTGTGACCTTTTGAAAAATATATAGGAATATCATGGATTAATTGTCTGGCCCCCGATTGATGTCTATATGACCTGGCTGCCTGTGCCAGGACAGAAAGACATGTATTGGATGTTGTGTGTAAAGAATAGGCCAACATAAAATCACAGTATGAACAATCAGGTTGACAAGATTATAGCTAGTTTGTAAACAATAAGGATCCAGGAGGATGTCACTGTCGGATAGTCAACACAAGAGTTGATTGTGATAAGGTAACATACAGACATGGACAAATAAAAGGAAACAGATAGAAATAAATCAAATGCAGATGCTTGGTACATCTGGGCTAACTGATTTGGTGAGGATGAAAATTATGTAAATAGAAATATAGCCTTTAGTCACCAGATCTCAACCCAGTTTCACACCTGTGGAAGATTTTGGAGCAACATTTAAGACAATGCTCTCTACCACCAACGCCATGAGATAAACTTGTATGTTCAGATCTATATTATGTTTATGTCACCTCGCACTGATGTGAGATTTTTGTAATGTCTGAAAATGTCTGTGTTCCTGTTTATCTGCAATACTTGAAAATAGTGTGGTTAGCATTGAAAAGTGGTTAAAAACATACTGAGAAATGTCTGTGTGCAAGTAACTCATTAATTATCAAACCATACTATTATATACAAATGTCATTGTCATTTATTATGCAGAAAATGCAACATAATGATCATTAGTTATTATTGTAAGAAAAGCAGATAAAGTTTAAGTTTCAGGCGGCAACCAATAGGTAAGGAGGAGGATAATGATGAGGACCTAAACCACTGCTTCCAGCCAATCAGAAGCAGAAGGAAATGGTCGTTAGCATCAGCTGAAATTTTGGTGCTGGAGTAAGGTTAAAATAATTAAAGTTTTACATTTATTACTCTATGGCTAAACATTCTTGACAACAAACTAACATTAGTCCCGTTTGACTTTGTGCCGAACGTGGCTAATGTCGAACGTGTGTTATGTCACACAGGTGTGAAAATTGTGAGAGGATATCCAGGACACATGAAAGGTGATTTGATGCCAATATATTCATAAATGAGCAAGCTATTGAAATTATTCACTTGTAATGTGCATAATTAAGAATTTAATTTATTTATTTTCATGTTTGTTTACAAACGTACAGGTGTGAAATGTTTGAGGGTGGTCACTAGTTATAATAGAGGTGGTTTGAGATTTTTATGTTGAAAAACAAAAACGTTATTGAAGATTGAAATGGACGTGTTTGCAATTTGCAGACGGTCCCTAACTCCCCCTACAGCGACAGGCGCATTTGACAGACATTGCGCTCTGGACCGCATCGTTATCAGTGATTTCGAGGTGATCAGAACTGTGAAACTTCTGCCTGAATTAGCTCTCCAATATATCCCAAAACTGGGAGAAATAGAGATTTTGACACGGAGCGATTGAAGGTAACAGGCACAGCAAACCTTACCTAAGTTGACGGCAGCTACGCTCGTTAGTGTTAAGTAGGTGGTCCAGTAAAACCTTTGCAAGTAAAAAAGTCAATACTTAATCAATACACCTGTTTAGCATAAACATCTAGAACACGATATTTTAATGTGCTCAGTCTCTCATCCACCGCAGCTGTGTTTTGGTTTTACACAAACACAGCGATGATTCGGCTAATAGCTGATTGTTACAAACTAAAGTTAAAGATTTCAGTCTTTAGTTTACCCCGTACATTAAAATATGGCACATTTAAACTCAGCTTATGGCTAAACCAGCTCCTGTCTTATCATCAGCAAGCAGAGAAGGAGAGAGGTAAAAATGAGTTCATCATTCTTTCCAAACTTCACTTCACTTATGTAGATCTCAGGAATATGATTTATTTTTATGAAATTTTAGATTTGTTTCCAGTGAGATATTAGTGACAGAGTGTTTGAGAGTTTTTTTATTTTTTTTAACTTTTCTTAGGTAAGGTAGGATGAGTGGGGAATTGTTTTCTCTCTTGCAACGACTGTACAGGGTTTCCACTCAGAAACTGATGAGGTGGTAGCACCATATTTTAAGATGTTCAATGGACTTAAGTAACATTCTGTGCTGCACTTTCGTGAAACATGGCCAGCTCTTTTCCAGGAAAATCAGGAAATTTACATAAAGTGCACATATTTAGAGCTATGTAATTAGGTTGATTTGATTGTTAATTGTTGTACTTTTCATAATGTGTTTTCTCACACACATCATTTGCTAGCTGTCCAGAGAGATGTAAGGAGAACTGGGCTGAAGTGCCCAGAAGATCTTTTCTCCATTGTAAAAAGCATACTCAGGTAAATTATTAGAATGTCCTGAGCAGATCCTAAGGATCAGTATAGGGGCATATTCAAGCACATTTCCATCAGTATAAAAGAGTAGAAATAACCCTTTTCAAAATCTGATGTTTTCTTTTACTGTACTCAATGTTATTTTTTTATCCACCTCAACCTGCTAGCATTACAGTGCTACTCTACTTTATAACAGCCTACAGTGAAACGATTGTGCTTGGAAATGCAAGTAAAAATTAAGATTGTGTGAATGTGAAAAATTATTTCAGGACACTGGTGCAAGTGACTGACGCCTGGGGTTGGCAAAACATGGATAGTAACTAACTAGTCTTTTTTTTTTCCAGCAAAGGGCAGTAAACCAAACACTCAACTAGTAGCTTCAGTAGATTGATAGTTCTTGATTTCAAAACATGTATGCATGCCGAAATGGCTCTAATGTTTAGTTACTTACACTTTTTGGTAACGCTAAATGTAGCCATTTCTGTTACTGAGGGGTGTGTGTGTGTGTGTGTGTGTGTGTAATTTAATCAAAGTTATAGCACTGAATTTGTTGTAGTGTTTGGAGAATATGGGTGAAAACAGTTTGTATACTTAAAATAGATTAGGGTTCCAAACACCAATATATACATTTAACAACTTGATAACTTGTGTTACGTATATGAAATATGATTTGATGTTATTAAAACACAAAAATATTTTATCATTTGGTTGAAAATGTTGTGTTGAGTCAGGTTCATGTGACAATTATTTTGTGTCAGGTGAAACTTTTAAAGGTTTCCTTTTTTGTTGTTTTTATGTTGCACAAGCGAATTGGGGTTTACAGTGTACTGTATGTGTGTGTGTATGTACAGACACATACACACAACAGGAGTGCATTGACTAAATGCCACCATTCCATGTAGCATGTAGGCCACATCTGGGCCAGAATAAAAATGGAATCAAATCAAAATGGGGCCAGAATTGGGGCCAGTTGTGGTTTATTTGGTTTGTTCTTGGTTGTGGCCCAGATCTGGCAAACAGGAGTGGACCACCCAAGCGCCATCATTCCACGCGGAATCAGAATCAGTTTTATTGCCAGGTATGTGTACACATACAAGGAATTCGACTCAGGATTGTACATTGCTCACGATGTGCTTACTCGTACAAAAATACCATAACACATAATAATAAAATAATACAATAAAATCAGACACAAACTACAGTATAGACAACACTAATATACACAGTATGAACAAAACAATATAGACATATTGACAAATAGTACAGTGATAAGAGTGCTAAGGATGCAAGAGTAAACTATTCTCATCATGTACATGTTGAAGGTGGATATGATATACAGGTACACATGCACAGATGTACACAGTGTGATGGGGCATAGTGCAAAGGATGCTAGAAAAAATAAATAAGACCTATGACCTGAGGTAGGTGTATTGGTATACAGTATATACAATATGACATAGTATGAACAGCACTGAAATAGAGAATGGTGAATAAATAAATAATAAGTGGTAACCAGTAAACAGGTGGCTGATTAGAGACAGAGTTACTGGGTTATTGCGCAGGAATTGTTCCTGACACTGTGAGTCAGACATCAGAGTGATGGCTTGTGAGAAGAAACTGCTTCTGTGTCTGTTGGTTTTGGCGTACAGTGCTCTGTAGTGCTCTGTATCTTATCCCGACAAAGTCAAAAACTGAAATCTGCTAAACCAGATGTAAAGTCTGTGAAAAGATGGACCAACGAGTCAAAGCTGGATTTACAGGCCTGCTTTGACTGCACTGACTGGAGTGTTTTTGAGGCTGCAGCCACTGACCTGGACGAACTAACTGACACTGTGACATCTTACATCAGTTTTTGTGAGGAGACGTGTGTGCAGACTAAAACCTTCCGCACATACAACAACCAAAAACCCTGGTTCACAGCAAAACTCAGGCAGCTTCGTCAGACCGAGGAGGAGGCCTTCAGAAGTGGGGACAGAGTCTTGTACAACCAGGCCAGGAACACACTAAAGAGGTCAAAGTTGCAAAAAGGTGCTATGCTGAAAAGCTAAATAACAGCTTTGCAGCCAACGACCCTGCGTCAGTGTGGAGAAGCCTACAGACACTCACAAACTACAAGAGACCATACCTCAACACTGCTGGTACTCAACGACTGGCAGACGAGCTGAATGGTTTCTACTGTAGGTTTGAAAAGCCCAGAGTCACACCTCTCCCCCACTCCAACGCCATCTTCAAACAGTCACCTTCCCCCTCTGACCTCTCACCTGCACTCAAGAGGACGTGAGCCACCTCTTCCAAAGGCAGAAGATCAGGAAGGCTCCTGGCCCCGACAGTGTGTCTCCATCATGCCTGAAAATCTGTGCGGACCAGCTGGCTCCCATCTCCACTCAGATTTTCAACAAATCACTGGAGCTGTGTGAAGTTCCCTCCTACTTCAAATGCTCCACAATCATCCCGATCCCAAAAAAACCCTCCATCTCTGGACTAAATGACTACAGGCCCGTCGCCGTGACATCTGTATCCATGAAAGAAAGTCTTTTGAAAGACAGGTGTTGGCCCACCTGAAAGACATTACAGGCCCCCTGCTGGACCCCCTGCAGTTTTCCTACAGGGCTAACAGGTCAGTGGATGATGCAGTCAACTTGGGTCTGCATCACATCCTGCAACACCTCGACTCTCCAGGGACATATGCAAGGATCCTGTTTGTGGACTTCAGCTCGGTGTTCAACACCATCATCCCAGACATCCTCAGCACCAAACTCACCCAACTCACTGTGCCAGCCTCCACCTGTCAGTGGATCATGGACTTCCTGACTGACAGGAGTCAGCAGGTGAGGCTGGGGAACATCACATCCAGCACCTGGTCTGTCAGTACTGGTGCCCCCCCAGGGGTGTGTGCTCTCCCTACTGCTCTTCTCCCTCTACACCAATGACTGCACCTCAGGAGACCCATCTGTCAAACTCCTGAAGTTCGCTGATGACACAACGGTCATCGGCCTCATCCGGGATGGTGATGAGTCGGCCTACAGACAGGAGGTTGATCAGCTGGCTCTCTGGTGCAGTCAGAACAACCTGGAGCTTAACACGCTGAAAACTGTGGAGATGACCGTGGACTTCAGGAGGAGCCCCCCCCACCCTGCCCCCCATCACCATACTCAACAGCCCTGTGTCTGCTGGGGAATCCTTCAGGTTTCTGGGATCCACTATATCCCAGGACCTGAAGTGGGAGCCCAACACTGACACCATGACACCACTGACAAATACATTTTAAATATTAGTAATTGTAAACATTATAAGTAATAATAAATATGAAGTAGAAAGAATACAGAATGATATATAGTATAGTCTCGATCATGAATCCTCAAATCTGTTAGTTGAGCATTAAACACTTCATTTCCTGCACTCTGGTGAATTCTTCTGAACCAATTTCTTTCTTTCCTGCATCAATTTATAGTGGAAATGTTTTTATTTATGCAAAGGGAAACACAAAATCCAGATGGCAGGTGACAATTCCAAATCTAAACCTCAACAGAACTTACGTCAGTGTAGCTCTCAGTCATTCTGTGTTGCTTTCAGATATGTTTCTCCTGTAGATCAGCTTTCTTATGTAATATCACCCCTGCTGAGCCAACACACAAGCAAATGAAAAAATAATTTTGTCCAATCCATTTTTTAATCAAATTTTGCAAGAGTACCTCAGCTAGCTTCTCTCATTGACCAGGATCCAAAGAGCTGCTAACTCTGGTTGATTAATGTTAACATTACTATAGCTAGCTAGCCTAGCAAAAATGTCAGATAACTCTGTAAGTCTTATAAAAACGTAGCATAAGTGTAATTGTAATTCAGTGCTGCAACAAAGACTAAATGATGCCTTCAAAAGCATCAGGAAAACAAATGATGAACATTCTTTTTTAGTGACACAAAGACAGCAGCAGGTATCCTAAAATGCTATACCTCACTGTGTCATGGCAGTGCAGTAGGCGAAAAATGGATTTGAGATGCACTGAATTTCAGACAGTAAAAGTGAGTGGGTCCAATATCATTGGTTTTAAAAAGTGGGTGGGTCTTGTCTCACCCAAATACAATGGTTCCCACACCATGTAATATTAGCTTTTAGACACATCACCGCTAAATGGGGGGAATTCACTTAGGCCAGACAGTTCTTCTGTAGGCTGTGAATTAAATTCTACCCAGCTGCTCATGTAAATGTTTAAAACTTTAATCTTGACAAGCTGCAGAGCTGCAGTCTCTATTCATCCAACTTACATTGGAAATTTCCAGCTAAAACGAGGCTTATTGTTGACCCTTTTTTCTCTCGCTTGCCTGCTATTCACCAGTCTTGTGCAGTTTTGCATGCGTGCTATGCTGACAACTGCACGCACGTCGTGGTTCCTCATGGGTCTATTTCAAGTAGACGGCTATTTAAAAGCGCTATAATATTCTGTGTGTGGTTTATCAGCGGTGAAAAATGATCCAAAAGTCCCGCGAGGTGCGGACAACTCGGCACAACACCAGTGAAGCTGGGGCGCCGTCTCTTCTTTAGTACGCCATGCGCACTGACACCCCAGGATTAAGGTTACAATTTTGGATTTGTTCACGCACTTTAAAAACATTTATTGAACGTTTTTTTCTTTTTACATGTTTATTTACAGCATTAAACATTGAAGACGATGAGCACTCCCATATCGCCAAAATGGCATGATCCTTGTTTCGCTGCAAAGCGTCCACTGTAAGATTGACAGTCGAATCAGGCTCCGCCTATCGAAGCATCGAATCTCGACTATTCGGGCCAGCCCTTTTAAATTCTATAATTTGTTACCTAGCATTTGCTTATTGTAAATAAAACAGTGTTCCATTTATTTGACTATAGCATAACATAATCCTTCTTTGAACTGTGATTTAATGATGGTGAAGCCCAAAATATAATAATCCTTTAGAGATGGTTAAAAATTTGAATCCCAATGTAAAAGTGTGAGTTTTAAATACACTATCGCCCACTAGATTAGCACAAGAACTTACATAGGTGGGAGTCAGTCCAGCCTCAGTTTAGTTATATTCAACACGGAGGCCCGATCTTGTTAGATAAGTGACACAAAATATCAGTGAACCTGACTAAAAGCATGTGATAACTGTACAGTCTGGCATATGCCTCATCAAAGCATGATGAGGCTAGTCACATCACTTCACTTTAACTGGGTTGTCATGATTTCACAGCTTAAATGAAGTGATTTCAGGTGTTTGGTTACACGTGACAGACAAAAAAAGTGTCTGAAATCAGCCACCTCCGCAGCAGGTGTTAGACTCAGATGTAAGTGTGACACCTAGTGTCGCTGGCGGTAATAACATCTTATATTTATATGACCTGTCATGAGGAAAATGCAAATGAATCAGATGTGATTAGTGACACTGGAATCGTTTTAAACAATACATAATTGCAGCCCCTTTCATGAATACAACACAGTCATTTGAATAAGGTCTGTTGCATGCTGAAACAAGCACATACAGTGATTAAATTATTCACAAACCAACCTCAATTCTGCCCTGCGATGGACTGGCGTCCTGTCCAGGGTGTACCCCACCTTTCACCTGTAAACTGGGATTGGCTCTAGGCCCCCGCGACCTTGTACACAGGATAAGCGGATGACAATGGATGGATGGCAACTTCAATTCCTTATATACATGACCTGGTTTGCACTTTACAAAACGCACCATGAAGACATTACTTTGTCGTGTGCATTGATAGCGACTAAAATATCTTGCACGTTATTTAAAATCATAAGTCCTGAGGCCAAAGTCAACAGGGGGTTAAGAAGTTTCTGTGCTAAACGTTCTTGGCAGCTGACGGCACCACTCCATATTGAACTCATGGAGCTAAGTGTCCTCAGACTCTCTGGTGGAGGGTGAAAACATCCCATCTGGAGAGATTGTTTTCACAGAAGCCTATGCCGAAAATGAAGAAATGATCTAAAACTCTTGTTTGTTGTTGCAGTAGGCTTTTACAGAAATGTTTCTTATGCACCACATATATCTGTTTATTAATTGAAAATGTGTGAAAATGTAAGTCAGGGTAGTGGCAGGGTGATGCCAAATGAGGCATCATTTGATGATCTGCTACCAGCATGTCAGTTTGGACCTCCTTGATACATTTCACACCCGTTGAATTGGTAAGCGTCTTATAAATAAACAGTGTGTCTAATGATTTTTGCTGTTCAAGCAACATTCACTCCTAGGTCTTTATCCTGTGTCATCACTGTGAACAGTTTAGTGGTCAGAGATTCCCAACTGTCATATCCACAACATGCTAAATATCTGGCTTATAAATACAGCACATGGAATTCTTCAGAAATTCTTCAGAGTATTTCCAAAAATACCACAGAATTTGAGTCTTCACAGCTTTTCATCGTGGATTTCTAGAATACCAGGGGATAAACACAAGCTTTTTATTTCTGCAGAGAATATTAATTAAAAAATGAAGACTATAGGTAAAATAGGGGTAAGGGCTGCTGTCAGTGCTTGGAGTGCCTTCTTTAGATATTTGGGCTAACTGCTTATTTTCATTATTTGGAGTTAAGTGACTTTCCGATTCTCATAATTGGCCCCAGTGGGATTTTTGTGCAAAAACCTTTGATGTTCACATCTCGTTTCACATCCTCCATAATTGTGACAGTATTATTGTAATATGTACAGATAATATTGTTGTATTTTTTAGCAAGATTCCAGTGTTTGATCATAGCGAGAGACCGATTTCATTCCAAGATTTAATCTCCCTTTGCCCCCCCCCTCTCTGCTGTCATATTTGATACTCATCAGCACATCACGTAGGACAGTCCAAAAGTTGGTGAATTTTTTAGAGCACCAATGCTTTTTTTATATTATCTATAAATTAATAATCCACAATCAGCCTAAACGTAATGAGATTAGCAAGTCGTGGAGGATTTCAATTAGGGATTCAATACGTTTGTTATACCGTATTATTAATGCGTGGAGGTCTGTGCATAATGTAGCTAAGCTTGTTATATATAGAATCTCACTATTTCAAATAGGTTATCAATAATTAATCAAAAGTGATGTTGATTGGACCCTACAGTGAATTTCCTGTTACTGGAAATCTGTTTTAAAGAAGATGGCTAATAAAGTACTTCACTGTCCGTTGTAGCTAAACTTTGGGGCAACAGGTACAGCACTGTTGACATGGAGAAAATTGGATAATTACAGGTAAGGCACAATGATGTATGTTACTGTATGACCCTGTACTGTATGCACCTCTTTGATCTGCAGAAGACTGGAGGTAAAATATTAGCTAGGAGTCAGTAGGTGTGCCATGCATACTGTACATGCTCAGTGTGCCACACCCAGTAAATCATTTACCAGAGTACAGATAGAGACAGAGCAAAATGGTCAACTGTTTCAGCTTTAATATACTGTTTTATCATTATGCCAAAATACAGAGTCAAAACTGAACAGGAGGGCTTTTTTTTTTTTTTTTTTTACAATGTTAATAAAAGAAATCATACTGTAACAAGGAATCCAAGCTGTAAGAAAAGCCTTTAGTGCATTTAGTAGTTACAGCATCCCTTTCTTAATCATTTTATTTATTTATTTATTCTGAATTTCCATTAAATTAAGCTGAGACTTAAATAAAAATCTTTAATAACCTAACTAAATTAGCTTTGACAACTTAATATATACATATGGGTATGTCAGATTCCCTTTAATTGGCAGGTTCGTGGACATTTTTATTGTCCATTGTCTTGTTCAGCTTTTCTTATATCTGGTCGCTATTGTATTCAGACAGTTGCAGGCAATGTCAGTAACTCCTCACTCCTCCCGTTCACGCCCTTGTGCTGACTTTTTGCAGGATTACTGGCAGAATGTTGCAGCAACCTTTATGACACTGAGGGCTACGCCCTCGCCAGCGGTCAAGAGCTGTGCTAGAATGCGTTTGCACAGATAATTACTGTGTGAAATACTAAAAGGCAGTAAGGGTTTTTTTCTTTAAAAAAAATTATATTAAATTTATTACACCATTTAAAATCAGCCACTCAAATGCAAAACTGTTTCATGAACTGTCCAGAAAGATAATTAATAATACCCCAAAATACCCAAAGTTGTTACTAATCAATAGAAAACCCCACAGCCCTACATCATATCAATACAACTACCATTATGAACCTGCAAAACAAGCCCCCTGCCATTCTCTGAAAGGATAAATGGATATAGCTAATGGGTGGATGGAAAAACCAAAGCAAACAACAACAACTATACAACACAAAATATGTACAACTGACTGCATCTGCATAATTTTCAGTGCAAAAGACCAAAAAGCAGCAAAGAAAACAAAAAACAAAAAGCAATATATGCACAAACTGACGCCATCTGCTTGTTTTTTGGGGGGTTTTCCCCTCATTCATGTTTAGGGGCATGCCAAGCATTCAGATCCCAGACCTCTCTGCATCCTGTACAGTATACTGTAAGGTAAACACCATTGTTTTTGAGCTTCATTGTTCATGTGTGTTTGCAGGTGTCGGCAAGAGTTTTGAACTTTGGTCCAAGTGTGTTAAGGAAGTCAAGGTTATCGTTGTCACCATAGTCACTGCAGCATCCCACAGAGCCAGCTGCAGAGCCCGCCCCTTCAAACCCGTAGGAGTGGATGATGTCGTCTGCGTACCGGCCGTCCTCCTCTGTTCCCAGGTAGGCTAGTTTCTGCAAGACAAAAGGGAAGGGAGAGGAAGTGTGTTATTGCTCAGTGTGTGGACTGAGCTATGGGAGGGGACATACTAAACCATGTGATAACACAAGGCTGCTCATGATATGACTGGCAGCCAGATATTATTATTATTAGAAAAGCAAGATTATATTACACGAGACTTACCTTAGCTCTTACAGATAACAAAGATGTTATTAAACCTCAGAATGAAAAATGTACACATCTGGACACACTGGTCATTTTGCCACATTCTCCCCCCTTTTTGTGCCAATTTTCCCACATATTTTTTATTGTACCATATACATTAAAATCTGTTAAATGTTTTTAACTCTGAAATTTAAAACATTACCTGGTGTAGATAGCGGCCGTTGGTTTTCCAAGTGTGAAGAAAAGCTGAGTCCTGGACATGGTACCTGTTGTCAAAGCTCACACCACTAGCAAGAAGATGAGCTCCATTTAAATGTTGAGCACCATACTGACTTTCATACTGGTCATAGTATTCTTGCATATCGTTGGTGACACCACTAGACTTGTACGTCCCAAGCTCATGTGTGGTATGTGCTCCGATCGTGCTGGAGCTTTTGTTCCCCATCCACCCTGCATTTGTCATAGTGCCCTTAACTGAGCCTTTAACTGCTTGGTCAACCCCAAGAGGGGGGAAGGTGAGGAGACTTGAATCCTGTAGAGCAAGACAACAAAACAAAAAGCGAGCAATCAAGTAACAATTAAATACAGTAAATGAAGCAAAATGACAAATGACTAAATAAAAGTAAGGTTCCTTTACAAGGGTATGAGCCCAGGCAATGCTTTCATTATTATGTCTTTACCACTTCTTCCCCTGGGGCTTCAGTGTTTGACTTGAGCAGGATTCCACCACTGTCTGCTTCATCCTTCAGTTCCAATGTGTCACCCTTTGTCATGCAGAAAAAGGCGAGGAGTAGGCCTGCAATAACAAAAGTATGTGACAAATGAGCACACAAGGATGGTGCAGTTTATAATAGACAGTGCTCCACGTGTGGTAGACGTCACAAGAGTGAGCATAATGGCATTATAATATTGCCACGTATCATTGCTCAATACCAAACATGTGATGCATAAGTCAGCGTCAGAACCCCTAACTTTCTAAACAGCAAAGCAAACACAATTCTGTTGGCAAGAATATAGCGAGGGGGACTCACCGAGCAGAAGGAGGAGGGCAAGAGGCAACAGCATAGCCAGTAAAGCCAGTGGCCCTAATGACACAGAGCTTTGCTTGGCCAAGCAGGCTCCATTCCTGCACTGGCAGATCCTTACTTTCACCGTCTGTGTTTTACCAAAGCCCTGCAGATCTGTGACGTAGATGGGAACAGTATGTATCCCTGTAGGAAGCTCTTTCAAGTGCTGCAATGTAGCTGTTGTGTCTAAGGAGTGAAACGGAATGAAGTTACTTCTACACCAACTTAACCAAAAGCAAAATAATAGATACAGAATGTTTACGGCACTTTAGACACAGTGTCAGCATTGCATAGTTTGTTCACCAGGGAGCACACGTTTATTTTTTTCCCCATTGTAAAATGTCCCACTCAGTACATATCATGGTCACAATTCTTAAAAATAGATGTAATTTAAGGAATCCCCATTCAGTCATTTGCCAGGAATGCTTCGGTTAGATTTTGAGTAAGTGGTTTATTTTGTTAGCTTTCACACAACAAAACATCTGAATGAATTACTAAGACCTGGATTGATCTGTGTGAGTAGTTTGAACACTTCGTACAGAGCTTTTACAGATGTTTCCAGAATGTTTTGCTGTTGCTGAACATGTCTCCAGTTAACTAGACAAGCTACATGATGTGGGTTACAGATGTAGAAAAAAGTATTCAAACAGCCCCATTAAAACTTCTCTGTCAAAACTGCAGTTTTTTTGTTTTGTTTAAGACACTCTCCAACAGATGTAGATAAATGGTTAAAATTACAACCACCTACCATTAATTCTTGTCACAGACCATGTGCCATCATTATTGTCTGGCAAACTAAAGCTGAAGGGGGAAGAAAAGGGAGACCCATCCTTGTCTTCAGCGACAACCAGCACGGAGCCAAGCGTTCCTTCCTTTTCACACAACACCAGCTCACCGGTGGGGAGTGTTGGTATGTTGTCGTTGACGTCCTCCACCACGATGATGACTGTTCCTGTGCCTGTCTTGGAGCCTGAAATACATTAGTAATTCATTAGTACTTTAAGACAAATACAAGCACGTTGGTACTGAGAAAGAAAACAAGATAGACATAGTTGGTAGCATTCTGACATCAATTGGGTGTCAGTTACCTGGGAATTGCAAATTCTGGCTCAGTTTTCTCCGTCACAACAGGACGGTGAGTCATTGTAAATTAGTCACATCATAACTTGTCAACAGGTGTTCTCAGGTGACACAATGTGAGGACAAAACTGTATTGTGTTTAGACAGGTACAAGCAAGTGTGGGGCTGGTGTTCCTAATAACCTCCAGCTGATTTAGCAATACCATCCAAAAGGCGTGAAGATGGTGATTTAACATGTGGATTTACTTTCCCAAACCAACGGTTCCTTGGTGAAAGTATAGAAGATCTTTGCCAAACCCAACAGAGACAGTGGGTTTATAAAACAGGTAACAGATATGATTAAAGATTTAGGACATTGGTGCAGTGTTGTAGCCTGTGATCAGTCAGGTGATCCCATATGCAGAGGAGATATGTTGCTCAGATAATAACACAAGCTCAAGTATTTAAGTCTTTTGTGATAGAACAGCTTGGGTTCTGTGTGGAGTCTGTGGCTTATAGAAGTCATAGAAAAGGAAATGTACAAGCAACTTACTTGCATCAATAGCCTTCACGGTGATGTTGTAAATTCCATCCTGGACAAAGTGTGACTCTCTGTCAATAGTATTTGCAACCTTCAGCTCTCCGGTGTTTCTGTCGACATTGATCCAGTAGGCTGGATCTATGGCCTTGTAATACCTGAGAGACAATGGAAAAAGTACTTGTGTGTTAGTAGCACATTTTTCAATTCAGCAGTGAAAGTCTGCCCTCCAGTGTTTAAGAGAAGTAACAGAAACTTGAGAGTGCTGCAGTTGAATCTGTTGTCAGACATACTGTACCATGGGAAAGTGAATTTCTTTAAGACAAATATAAAATGAGATTGCTTACTTGATGCCATCGCTGCTCTGGGTCTCGGGATCTTTAGCTGTGTAACTTCCTATCACCGTGCCGTTCGGTGTGTTCTCTTTGACATTGAAGCGGATGGTGGGAGCTGTGAATTCCGGACCCTCATCGACATTGATGACATTGACATTCACAGGGACAGACAGCCATTGGGCCTTGGTGCCACTCAGGTCAGCTTCATTACGTGCCATAATGTCAAGCTTTACGTTTTTGGTCTTCTCATAATCTAAGGGCTGGAAATGTAGTATAAATAAAATCTGATGTCACTGTTGTGTTATAGGCCTTGACTTTCCATAATATGCAAGTCTCTATGTCATGTTAAATAGTATTACTGCTACTAATTTCATAGTAATAATTATAATAATACAAAGTCTTACTCACCTTTGCAACATACAGAAGCCCCTCATTTGTTTTAGGGTCAGTAGTGATCCTGAAGTTTCCATTTTCATTTCCTTTAGTTATGACGAATTTAGAAATCCAGTTTGGTGTGTTTATTAAATCCTTATCTTCAACAGGAATTCGGAGGATAAGTTTGTCATTTTCGTTTTCTATGACACTGGCCTCATACTAAAGGAAACAAGACGTGTAACTTCCAATTATATAGTAAAACAAGTTGAAAAAACGTTGGTTTAACCTCATGTATGGTGGTAACAAAATAATTAAACATAACGGGTGCCTTTTATATAATCACTTACAGATGTTTTTGTGAAAGTGGGTGGGTTGTCATTGATATCAGCCAGAGCAATGGTTGCTGTTCCTGTGGTGGACAAACCATTTTGTGCGCCGTCCATATCTTTGATTTGTACTGTCACAGTATGCTTTTCTTTTACCTAAAGAAAGAGTTTGACAAAATGAAATGAGAAAAGGGTAAATATTATGTTAAGTTGAGGCAAGAAACAAACACAGAGCGTTTGCATCAGCTAATTTCTGTGTCATATTTCAGAGTAAATCATGAGTACAATGAGGCCGGCGCTCACCTCTCTGTCCAGGGTGTTAGTTGCTGTGGTGATGACTCCTGTCGCTGGGTGGATGGCAAACAGGTCTGATCCAGTCAAGAGACTATACCTGATCTTGACGTGTTGAGATCCTGGTTCATCTCTGTCTGTAGCATTCACCTTGCCTACCACCGTCCCTGTGTTGTAAAACATGATCATGGAGTTTATTATCACCCTCACTGAAGATCAAATACCTCAGGATTACTGTTGTCTACTTCACGTTCCTGACCTGGGTTGCTTTGCTCGAGCACAGTAAACTGCAGTGCATCTTGGAATGTTGGAGCGTTGTCATTCTCGTCATCTACTTTTATGGTGATGTCCAAAGGAGAGTCTGTCTCCTGATTTGTTACTTGGTTGTAAACACGACACGTTAACTGTGAAGAAAAAAGTACATTTTACAAGGTGACACACACAAAAATACAAATTTAATGCAAAGCATATCAAATGGTTTAATTTAATTTCAATGTCAGATTAGTCATTTAAAGTGTCTTTCTAAAGATGCACTACCAGCCATTATGTTTTCACACTAGAGCATAAACACTTCAGTTAATCTAAACTATTTTGATCATTTCTCAATTGTGAGGAGTTGCTGTTTTTCTGTGTTTCACATAATAATAAGTGTGTGAGTGCAATTTGAAGACAATCCTTTGGCTTTAGGAAATCGTGATGGGCGTTTTTCACTGATTTATAGTATTTTATAGGCAAAATGAGTAATCGATTATTACAGAAAATAATCGCCAGATTAATCAATATGGATAATAATTGTTAGCTGCAGCTCTATTTCACACTCACTGTAAATAATGGGAACTCTTCACGATCAACTGTCTGTCGCACAAATAAAGTCCCATTTTTCGGGTCCAGAGAGAACACCCCCACTGGATGCTCATTGACACCAGGTCCATTCAGGATGTAGTACACACTGAACTTGGCTGAGGAATCTGATACAATCTACAACAGAAACCAAAACATATACATGAAAACACGATGAAACACAGGTTGTGTTATTCATAAACCATCTATCAAAGTTAAGGAAGCCTGTCTGTGGCCTTTCAGTCTGCAATACTTTGAAATATTAACCATGACATCTTTAAGCAGATTCGAATAGACAATCTTGTAATATATAAAAACACAAAAGGGATTAATCACTGCATAAAGTCAGCCAAAAGTCATGTAATTAAAAGGGGTGTGTCTGGGTGTGTGAATCAAATCATCTGGAGAAAAGAAAGGCAAGTGCAGCAAGAGGAAAGTGAAGAGAATCTTTGGCTTTGTATTGTGAATGCAGCGATAAAGACTTGAAACTCATGTCATATATCTTACATGCTAAAGTAGTATATTTTCAATAGTAAGATTACCTCGTCAATTCGTCTTGGAAAAGGCCCCTTCTCATTCTCTCTTATGTTGAAAGGCGGGGGACTCCAACGTCTCTTGGAGCGCTTCAAGAAGCCTTGGCCTGTGTGCTGTAACATGCGAACAGGTAAAGACGTTTAAAAAAAAAGTCCATTTACATTCTGACCTACATAAACCTGCTATAAAAATGATACATTCATCAGTAAGCTTACCTCTCTTGGCTGCATTGTATTGTGGACAAGGTGAACTTCCATCTCACTTCCCGGCCCACTATCGTCCTGAACCCACACAGAAAATGTCTGCCCTGCCGCTGCCACTGACACCGGAGTTAAAGTTTCAATTACTCCATTACTCTTTATTGTAAAGCGTGGGTCCTTCAAAGTAAAGAGTACAGATTTGGCGTCACAGCCGCCAACTTCAACTGAAAACCGAGAAAGGGTAAAGGTGAAAGAGGGGGTTATTAATCAAAAGCCAAAGCAGGAAATAAGTCAAGGTGTAGCCTATTACAGAAAATTGAAAACGATAAAGATTTAAGGAACAAATAAAAATATGCTAAGTACCTTTTGTGATTTGGTATCCTGCCGGAATTGTTTGTGGCACATGCACGTATAGATAGTTCGAGATGAAACACGATTCCACGCGGGACAGCATCTGATGTAGAAAATCGAGCTCAAGTTTCAAGTAACGTTGGGTTTATCGAATAACAGACTTAATCAAAAATAGCAAAAAAAAAGTGCAATTTTAACAGCAAATAATTGCAAAATAATGACATTCCTCTTTATTGTTGACACCAAATAGAAAGTATAACACTCATAACTGTACGTTTGTATCGATAAAGACGTTTGTTTGTGGACAGAGAATATAAAACAAAAGTGGACTCACTCACCAACACCAGGCAGATGTTGAAAAATAAAACCCTCGCCATTTTTGAAAACTTAAGATGGACTTTGTCCCCGGTCTGTAGGAGGAAGCTGGACTCCACCGCAAGTTAAAACAACCGGAGAATGACGGATGATGGATTGGTGTCTCCGTTAAAAGCCCAAAAGTAGAAACTCGTCTGTTCATGCACTTGCCTGCTCTCTGTAAAGACGGGCGGACTTGTCTCTGAGTCGCGGTTCCCGTTGCTAAGCCCAGTGACTCGACAGACAAACACACCTTAACTGCCCCACCCAGACTGCGAGCCTTCCTCTTTGGATCAGGATCAGCACTCAAAGCACCTTTTAGGCTGTGCTCAGTGTTGGGTTGCCGTTAACTGAACGAACACACGTCGACTCTAAGTTAGAAAATGTATGAATTCTTTCTGCCAACAGGGGGAAACATTGCTTAAATACTCTTCCAGCCAAAGTAATTCTGTAAGTTTGAGTGTTGCAACACCTCAAAACAAAGCCACACACCATGTAATTGTACATGGAAGAGTTATTACTGTAGGCCAGCATATGAGATACAAACGCTCTACATAAAAGCACTATAATGTCTTGTAGGGTTATTATATTTACTTCTATTCATACAGGGGTTCTTATAATAGAGTAAGTTAGTTTAAGCAGAGCAAAGTTGTACAAACAAGTACTTATTTGTCAGTTGCTTGTTTTTCAAGAGTATCTGGTCTGAGACACCTCTCCCAGGTCTACACAGAGACTGATCACTGCATGCCTCTCCTCTCTCCCCTGTAACTCCATTTGAGCGTTCTAGTAGGAGGCACAAAACTGGACTCTTCACTTAACACCACAGGAATGTGTGCTGAATGAAGCCTGGTGTGGGGGAGGCTCTGCTCCCACAGCGAAGTGCTCACTATCTCTATAAACTGCTGATAAAAGTGAACAGTGGGCCTGTGTCTTTTTTAAAACACAAAAGTGCATATGGGGAAGTCAGACTGCATGGGCCTGCAACGGGGAAGGTCAGAAAAATGTCAGGAAGGCTACGTTGCTGTGAGTCATGGGCGTGAACACAATGAAATGGCTTGTGGCTGGGAATCTTAACAGTAAACACAGGATAGACTCCGCAAAATACCCCCTGTCACTCCCTAGCTAAAATGAAAGTGAATGATCGTACTCTGGCTAAAGTGTGTGTACAGAGTACACACTTTTTTGTGTTAAAATGAGGCACAACAGAAATACTTTAGGTTTGGCAAATAACCAAAGCATTAATGACTTTTCTACAGTTTGAAGAAAGGCAGTGTTGATACATTGCTCATGAACTCTTGAGCCATAATTTTGAATTTCAAAGGAGTTACACAGAAAATGTCGTTGGCAAGGTGTGGCCAGCCTTTTGAACACATCTGTTCGGTATTGTTATTGTCTTCCCAGGTATAAGGTGATTCAACATAATGTCGCAAAATCTAGTTTGGAACACATTGTGTGTGATGCCAGGATGCGACATAGTGTACCGGAAGCATAACAGATGTTTTCAGATTATACATTTGAAAGGTGTAACAGCATTCCAGTTTCCTTTGTGACAGTGACAGTATGTCCCTCAGGTAAGAAAGTAAGAGTCTAACGCAGCTACTCCACCCATCTCTCCACTCCTGTTGGGTGAGAGCCAGCGAGAGGTAGGGTGGGGCATTAACGTCATGTGTGATGGTTAGTGTTTGGTTGAGACAAGTTGCTCAGTGCAGTTCTTAGAATGATGTCACAAATGGCTATGATTATTAGTGTGTTCTTTGTGATGCTGGTCATATTGAAACACATGATTCAAACATTACAAATTATACTTTTACCAGTTAAGTTACTAGTTTAGGTACAACTATCTGAAACAGTCTACTACAAGAATAACTACAGCAATAAATACTACCTAAATGAAAGTTATATTTTAAAGTTTTGGCTTATTATTGTTGTACTTTTGTGCGCTCATGCTTTGTTCCGTACACTGTCAACAACAGACTGTTGATTAAATCTTAAACTTACACCTGTCTGTTTCTCCCTTTCATTTTTCGAATCACAAATACCAGGTAATATGTTTAACGTACTATTAACACATTAATTAGTACTGTCTGGACATTTTTATGTTACACACAATCAAAACTTGATGTGTTGAAATGACACATTTGTGTGTTCAATTCCCTGACACAATTTGTGTGTTAAAATGGCTCACACATCTATTGTATTTAATTTGACATGTGTTGTCCCTGAGCACACTTGCTTGTCATTTGTGACACATATCTATTTGCAGTGTGTTTTAGAGAGAAGCATGGTCGTTTTTGCTAATGAATTGCGCTGTTATATTGAGAGGTAAATCAGTACATATTGACAGCAGTCCAAAAGACAGCCTCCATAATTTTAGAACCTTAACAATTATGACCTTCATGAATATAGGATTCATTGCAGAGCTGTTATATTAGGCTGTGTTAGTTTTAGAGAGGTGTGCTCAATAAACTGGGAACTGAGTGTAAACTAAGCCATATCGAAATGTTAACAAATACATGACTTTTTTAGGATCTGGATGGTCTGCTATTATGTTTTAATTCTGCTCACAATACAACATCAACCATGCTGTTAATTTGGACTAATGCATTGCATAATTGCTGAAAGACTGCTGCTATACCCCACAGAAATGTTCCTCCAAAAGCGGTGTCCTTCACTCAAACTGGACAGACAGGTGACACACCCGGCTCAGTTGATATGTTTTGTAGCAGACCCACTGCTGCATTTCATCAGAATGTACTTAACACAAATTAAAGTGACTATTCAACAATTTTGTTGGTCCTTTAACATTTCAATCTCTTATCAAATCTGTGTAAAATTAATAACTTTGAGACCATAGCTAAGAAAGTGGTTAGCTTCCGTCTCACGCAGTGTGAGTATAAAGTATTTTTGTTTTCCCTCTTTGTCTGATGTGCAACTTTTTGTCACGTATTGCCATCCATCATATGGTGCCATCTAAACCAACCATTCACCTTTGTGCTCATATTGCTGTTAGATACGAATTAAGAAAGCCAATGAAAAATACATCCCTCCTTAAAAAGCTATCGCTCACTGTGAGAAAGAAATCACACAGTAGTTGCACAGTTCAGTGATTTGTGAGATGTGTTAAAACAAATACATCAGAAATCCTACACAGGAAATATTGGCCTATTCAGGAGAGTTCAAACTGATACTGTATTTCTTCTCCAACACACCTTTGTACACGGGGAGTGAAAGTTCCGATAACTTGACAACACAAACTCCCAATATGCACCTTTAGCTCAAGGTCCTTTTTTTTCCCCTCAGTTTTTCCTCTGTAGAACAAACCTGCCAACGCCTACATTGCACACACACTCACACACTCCAGTGCGCAGCTGAATGTTCATGTGAACCCAGAAACAGAGGCGCACTCCTTGGGAATTTCACAGGCGCAGGTGGAGTTTTACACATGGATGAGAAAGTTGGCCTAAAAAGACTCCAATACATTTTTTAGAGACTGAATATCAAAATACTACTGCAAAGTCAAGATGGACATTATTGTTTTTTATCCTCCCCACCCCACCCCCTCAAAAAAAACATGATTGCACACATTGCCATTCCAGATCTAGGCATATAATAACAATTTAGAAAACTTTAGAGAACTTTCTGGAGTGATATCCTCTCCAGCTTTCCTTTTCTTCTTGTGCTTTCAGAGACAATAAGCACACAGAGATAATAGGCACACACACAAACTTTAGCCTGCGGCAAAACGCACAAACCGAGCTGGCCCATTTGTTCCCAGCACGCGTCTCTTTGTATCAACTAACATTATGAAGGAAAATAATCAAGGGAGACGTTTACAATTGCAATTTGAATGGTAAACAGCCGTTCAGCAGCTGTGGAGAAATCAATGTCAAAAGTCAAGAAAACTGTCCTGCCAGCCGGTCTTGCCCACATATGTGAGGGCGTGACAAGGTGGATGATTTGAACAAATTTACCAGGAAAAACGTACATTGAACATTTGGCCATGGGAAAAAAAACGTCGCTCAGCACATAAAACCCTTTGAAATATCTCCTGAATGTGTCATATTAAGAAGATATTCAGCTAATGAGCATACAAACCTGAACACACCATCTCCCTTATCCGCCTGTTATCAGAAGTAACTTGTGAGTAATCAAGCAGGGAGGGAGGGAGGAACCGCCTATTGTTGCAAAAGTCCCTACCCTCCAAAGGGTCAAAGTCTGTACGAAACCAGCGACGAACTACTGGCAGACTTAAAGTCGACGTGGTTTCACTTCAAAAGAGTTTAAATTGGGTTATTATTTTTTCAAGAAGATGGCTCCACTGCTGAAATGCAGCCTTTTTATTCTGCTGACGTTTGTCCTAACGGTGAGTAAACGATTCCGTATGTGCTTCATACTGTTAGATGGTCATTTTTTTGTGTGTAGAAAAGCTGGCGGCGATATAAGCTCATCAGATGCCTTTGAGCGTGTAGTCAAAGTTAAACCATCCTTTTGCAGTTAAAAGATACGAAAGAGAAAAAGTAAATGCGCAGTCTCCGTGTAACGCTACATGAGCATTCGCTTATTGTGCCGGATGGCCACGCAGCAGCTTTTCCATTAATTCTTTGCTTTTAATAATTACCCCCCTAAACACTGAGCGAGAACAACTTTTAGGGGCACGAAGTCTCGATCAAGCATAGACGAGTACTGAGGCGGGAAAGTCTCTACAAGTTTTTATTTTTATAATTGTCATCCATGTTACAATCCTGTAAGGTAATGGATGGTGTCTTGGAAATTGTATATCGCTGGTCAGGGATTGAGCAAATAATTGAGTTACAATTAACCTTTGTAAAAACTTTGAAGAATTTATTAATAAGAGAATAAACAGAGAAATACTACAACACATATGCCACAGGTCCAGAGACCTGCCACCAAGGGCAACCCCGCGCATTCAGTGACACAGTCTAGGTTTCTATGTTTTGGGAAACAGAGATCCTAGGAAACAGTTTTCACAAGTTTCTGCCATAACAGATGGCAAAATTAAAACTAAAACTGCCTTCCAATGATAAGTAAAAGAGAGGATGCCATTTTATACATTAATGTATTCATTTGTTGTGGGGCCATATTTTATTGACAACAGTGAAATAATAAAAATGTTTGTGAGCACACATTTAGTGTGTATAACCCTGATATAACTTAATGCCACATATGTATGTGTCAGGTGCAACAAGAATATATGCCATATATTGTAATTATTACACATTAATAATGATCACGTTGTTCCTTCCTCTTTGTTTACCTGCAGCTTGTCCCTGTGAGGGCAAAAGGAAATGGGCCACTGTTGCAGAGACAGAAGAGAGAATGGATCGTAGCTCCCCGGCAGCTATTCGAGAACCAGGATTACACCGGCTTGGCCAGTATCGCTAAAGTGTGTATTTTTTTTGTTCTATCTCTGTCTAAAGAATTCTATAAAGCTCTAGGGCTGAAACGATTCATCGATAAAATCGATTAATAAAATGCATCGACACAAATTTTGTATCGATGCTTCGTTTAATCCATTTAACTACACAGCACAGTGTTTCGCCCGGACATTTATTACTGTGGCACATCGCGCTTTTGCTGTGAACAGGACGTGATTATAATGGAGCTGTTTGCAAAGTGGAGGAAGAGAGAGAAAATAGCGAGGGACGAAGAAGAAAGTGTCCAAAGTATGGGATTATTTCAAGTTAAAGAAAACAACAACTCTGTAATGTTACCGTCCGTCCATCGTAAAACAAAACTTATGTCGCCTCGGCAACACTCGGTAACATTAGCATTTAACTGAAATCATGATTGATTGTTGATTTGAAACCAAAGTAAGCCGCAGACCTCAGCTGAAAATACTGCGTGAACCAAAAATATATAATTAGCCATTGTACTTGGCACCAAGCACATTTTATTGTGAGCACTGTCAGATGTGAGATCAGTCATGCATCATTACACAAACAACCTGAGAAAAGGAAGTCGTCTTTGAGACAGTTGTGGCAGGTTTAAGCAGTTGTTCAGTTATTACAGAATATACAATCCAGCATTGTTCCATTATTTTAATAAATTTCCAAATGTTCTGTCCCTGCAAAAACTACACACTGTGAACGCCACAACGACTTCAAGACTGACAAGTTGTGTGAACGGCACGGCCATCGTGTAGTCTGCACGAGCCTTTAGTATAACTTGTATAGCACTCGGGTGATGTTTGTGTTTGTAAATCAGCTGTCTAGTTGTTGGTCTGATGTTTGCTGTATGACACACTATAAACGTGCACAACTGATTGAGGGGAAGGTGCCGCCGCCGCCGCCACCAAGCAAAAGTACTTCTTAAACAACGCATCGATGAATCGTTTAAATAATTTATCGAAGCATCGAATACTAAAATCATCGTTAGCTGCAGCCCTACTAAGCTCCTAATTATAAACGATGAATTAGCAATTTAACGTAGGCACAGCTACCTTTTATAGAGAATATAAATTATTTAGAATAATTAAATCATTGTCAAGTAGATTGATTGTGTTTTCCACCTCACTGTTTTTATCCTCATGCAACCTTGGTTTTTTCAAAGCCTATCTTTGAGTATGTGTGAGAACTGCTTCCCAGACCCTACCGAATTTTAATATTCATAATGAGTCATGAATAAGTTCTGACACGACAATGAATACATCTTTGTTCTGATGTTTACACACACACACACACACACACACACACACACACACAAAGACACACCTGTGTTTGATGTTCAAAAGCTTATCTAGTTTCATATCTCAGCTAGGTGTTGTTGGTTCTGAGCCATGCTGTAATTGATGCAATTAACTGAGCTCAGTTTCTGTCAGACAATATTGCAGATCTGTGTGTGGTTGTTCTCATCAGTGCAAAAGCTGGATCCCACACCTCAGCTTAATATAAATATGTCACATGCTTGCATTCACTTGATCTGATAGACATTCATTTGAAATTACGCCTCATAGTATACAGGGAGAAAAAAATAAGTATATTATTTTATCATTAAACGTACAGAAAATAAGCTGTCTTTACACATTTATATGTAATTGGAAGGTCTTCGATTTCTTGATCATAAGAATTCATTTTGTGTTTGTGTATTTGTTTTTCAGATTCACTCTGATAAGTCGAACTTTACAAAGATCACATATTTTATAACGGGCCCTGGTGCACCCCCTGAAGGCATATTTGATATCGACCGTGACACCGGCTTTGTGAAAATCTATTCCATACTGGACCGAGAGAAGATCCCCGTCTATAATGTACAAGCACTTACACATTCTGTTTATAATATCAGCATGTACAGCCAATTATTCAAGTTGTACAGTGAGGAAATGGTAAAGTAGTAATGGTATCTGTTTTTGTAGTTAAAAGGTGTGGCAAAATTCACCAATGGAAGCCGCGCTGAAAAGGATATTGACCTCACAATTGTTGTTTTGGATGAGAATGACTGTACACCAGTCATTCAAGTACAGCAAGTCGGATATGTTAATGAATCAAGTGCAGCAGGTATTTTAAGACATTTACAGATTATTTGTGTCATGTCAAGTTTTTTAGCTGTATTTAATGAACTAATGTATTATTTCATTCTCTTGTGATTTCTAGATACTTTTGTGATGAAAGTGATCGCTACTGATGATGATGAAGAGGGCTCACTATTCTCTCAGATCGCCTACAGTGTGGAGCAGAGTACCACAGCTGGGATGTTCTACATCAAATCTCAGACTGGAGAGGTCATGGTTCGACGAAACACTCTAGATAGGGAGGTGAGACCCTTTATTGACCTGAAATTCCTCTATTTTTGCCTGGCACAACTAATTCTATTTATTGGAAAAGCTTTCAACTCTTGTGAATAGGTTACATCAAACCCCATATATTACTGCTATTTTGTATGGATAAGTCAGAACACAATAATCACACCATTTTCCACTATTAACATAATTCCCTGTTACTTATTGAATCACATCTTCATTGAGAAAGTAAGTTGTAATTTTCAACCAAATATTAATACAGAGTCATACTCTGTTTTACTGGAAACTAAAAACTAGAATGTAGTAATCAGTGCATTGTATCTCTAAACAATTTGTTTTAGAAACAAGATACATATAAGTTGACTATAAGAGCCTCAGATTTGAATGGACTGTCGGGAGGAAACACAGGAACTGGAGAAATTCTGATCAAAGTACTGGACATAAATGACAATATTCCAACCTTGGAAAAAGAGTCGGTAGGTGTGACACAATTTCCACAATCAGCACTTCTATTGTTCTTTAATTTGGTTCTTTAATAATGTTCGACAGTTGTCCTAAAGTAACTGTTGGTGCTTGTATTGTTTGCAGTATGAAGGTAGTGTGGAGGAGAACACCATCAATAGGGAAGTGATGAGGATCAAAGCCGTTGACATGGATCTGATTCACACTGACAACTGGCTGGCTGTCTTCAAAATAATTTCAGGGAACGAGGCAGGATATTTCAATATCACTACTGATTCTAAGACCAATGAGGGGATTATCTGGATTCATAAGGTAAAAGAGTGTATTTTTATTTGGATGCACTGAAACTCTAAACAGTGAAATGTCTGAGTGTGAGTCAACAAACATTTTTAAGGCTAACGTGAACTGCATATCCTGCAGTCCTTGGACTATGAGGAACTAAAGGTGGTCAACTTGGAAGTGACTGTTTCCAACAAAGCAGAGTACAATTTTGGCAGTGGGTCCATGACAGGGGCCACAATCACAAAATCCTACCCCATTAAAATCAATGTGGTCAATCAGAAGGAAGGCCCCCGTTTCCAACCAAGTGTCAAAGTGGTGACTGTCTCTGAGGACCACACTTCCACCTCCCTCCACAAAGTCATCGCCACCTATTCTGCTATTGACAGTGACACGCTACAGACAGCCACCAACGTAAGGTACAGCCACAAAGTGAAACATGTTACTAAATAGCAGTATTGAGATATATCTCTGGATTTATGTGTTTACATTCATAGATTATTTTGGTCCTCACATACTTGGATTTTCATCTTTACAGATATGCCAAAATCCGCGATGATGACCACTGGTTGATTATTGATGAAAAGACAGCAGATATCAGGCTGAGTAAACTGCCTGACAGAGAGTCCAAGTTCTTGATCAATGGAACATATTATGCAAATATTATATGCATCACCAATGGTGAGCTGTTTAAATATGAGAGTTATCATTATTCTCCAGTGGTTTAATATGGTGCACTACAGGTTAATATTGATGTGTCTTTCTGCTGGCTTTCAGAGATGCCCTCAAAAACTGCCACGGGGACCATAGCCATTCAGGTGGAGGACTTTAATGATCACTGTCCTAAACTAACCGCTACATCTCAGACCATGTGCCTCGGTGATAATGTCATTTACGCCACAGCCAAAGACGAAGATGAGTTCCCCAATGCAGCACCATTTGAGTTCACTGTGATTCAGGGGAGCAGCAACGGGAAATGGAATGTGGAGCATCTTAATGGTAAGATGAAGAATTTCGGCTAGGCAGATTTCCATCAAACATCATTAAATGGGCAGCATGCTCTTCAAGGTTTGCATCAAAGCAAACAAATTCAGTAGTCATCTCTAGTTTTCAACTCCAAAACGTCCTAGGTTTGACTTCCAAAATATTAGATTTGTCAAGACTTGCAAGCAAATTGTGATCATTTCAATGCTGCTGTATAAAGAAAAGAAACATTTCTAGATTACAAGTGCACATTTTAAAATGTGGGTCTCTTCTTTCTTCAGAAACCACATCCATTCTGCGGGACCAAGCCAACTTGTGGCCAGGGAATTACAAAGTAGCAGTGGAGGTCAAAGACCAGCAGGGAAAGTCATGTGCTGATGTTCAGATGATGGACGTAGTTGTGTGTACTTGTGATGAAAACATTAAAACCTGTGTGCCGCGCAGCACAAGGACTACAGGTTTTGGAGCTTCAGGTATCTTGCTTCTGCTCCTGGGACTGCTGCTTCTGCTGTGTGAGTAGAGTATTAATGATGTCTTTTCTTTTCACGGTTGGTAACATTGATCAAGAATGATTAACCTTCCCCAACAAAGCTGCCTAACTTGACATGTTGTAGCGCGCTTGGAGAGATAGTAAGACTAATAAGAATGGGTGGGTCACAGGCAGGTTTTGAAAGAGGCCGATAGAATGAAAGTAAGTTACTGATTGATGATTAGGCTTTTTAGACCTGACAGTATACTAGAGTTCTGTTGACATAGTGGTAAATGTGTTTTTCAGTGGTGCCCCTTTTGCTGCTGTTCTGCCTGTGTGGAGGTGCAGCAGCTGTTGGAGATTTCAAGGCCATTCCATTTGATACAAAACAACAGCTGATCTCATATCACACTGAGGGACAGGGAGAAGACAAGGTACTTTGATATGTGTAGTCCTGATATGATTGGATCTTATACAATATTTAGATATTTTTAGTTTTAAAAATGTGTTAATCAAATTTGCATAAAATGCTGCATCTCTGACATGATCTCACATATGTTCTCACAGGATGTTCCTCTTCTACATTTCCCAGTGGAAGTTGATGGTGGCACAATGAATGCCAAGGACATCAACACCTTTGGGGGAAAGGGGTACTTAGGAGGACTGGCTGAAGTAGGAGGAGGAGCAGCAGTTGGTGGAGCAGCCTTAGGTGCCATCAACACATCAAGCTTGACAGCTGAAGAAATGCATCTGTACAATCAATACAACAACTCCTTTGGGCAAGTGGAGATGGACTACATGGGTGGTGGGATGATGACAGGACAAGGACATCTGTACTCCAAATACAGAACTGGGGTTTTTGATGGGATGTCTCTGTCTGATGAGTTCCTGTGGCAGTATTATTCAAGTGTGAGTACATAAATTTCATTGGTTTTAGATAAAAGCTTAGAATTTTGGAATTTTAAGTTTGTTTTAATGCCTCAGCGACGAGTCAGTAATTTACAATTAGCACTAGCTTGCACTGCGAGAATGTCAAATCAGGCTTTAAAAAAGATTGACCCCAGAATATATCTTACAAGATACAACTTACGAAAAGAACATAGGCAGTTTTTATTATACAGTATCTTTAGGACAAGTAAAAGCTGTATCATACTATCACAGTTGAACTATTAAGTAGTATTTACTGTAGACTCAATATATTCTGGTTCTATTTGTTTGCAGAAATCCAAACATGCTGCACAGCAGTCCCTGCAGAAGGACGGTTTGCTCGTCTATGACTATGAGGGTCAGGAGTCCCGGGCAGGTTCTGTAGGTTGCTGCAGCCTTCTTGATGATGATGATGACCTTGCATTCCTCGATGATCTTGGGCCTAAATTCAAAACCCTGGCTGAGATTTGTCACGGGTCAACTTTGGTGACTGGGTCTGTGGATGCAGGGGTTTCTGTCTCTCCACCCAGACCAGTGTCTCCTATGATGCCCTCCACCTCCACCCACACACATGTCCATACACACACAGAAACAATCAGGGACAGGGACCACGTCAACATCAACACCAACACCAACACCCTCAACACCTCCAATGTAGCATCTGGATCCTCCACCATCATCCAGGGTTCAGCCACTGTTCCAAAGGTACATGTCCAAGACAAGATTATGATTCCCAGTCAGACGCTGCTTATACAGCAGCCTACTATGTATTATGCAGCCACGCCCATGTATGTAGTCGAGCCAAAGTCCCAAATGATGTTTGTGGCAGGTGGCACCCAGCAGACAGTGAGTCAAGCTGGCCAAGTTGGGCTTAGTCAGGGGCTGGTTCAGGTTGGTGGCCTCCAAGGTACTCAGGGTGTGGTCCTTTTAGATAGGCAAGTGGGAATGGGTGGAGGGACAGGACAGGTAGCACAAGGCCTTTCGCAAGGAACCATCTCCAGGTCCAGACAAGTTTTGGTGGTGGAGAATGGGTCCTCGGGTGGAGAACAGGGTGCGCGCCTAGTACAGGGCATAATTCAGACAGGTCATGGGTCTACAGAGCAGGGTGTGCAGGTGAAAACTCAGAGTTTTTCACTGGGTTCATGCGATTCTACTGGCTCAAATGAGGAATATGCATTGAGAGCCACACCCAAGCCACAAGGGAGCCAGAGAGTGGTTGTGCAACACAAGAAGGTCTCAGTCACAGAGAGAAATATTGAATCTAGTACAAGAGCATAAATCAACCACTTTGTTTAGCGTATCCCCTGTCAGACTTATTTTTATATATACTGAAATAGATTTCAGTATAGTAAATCCCACAGTATATAGATACACACAGTTTATGTTCATACAGATAGACTGTGGTAAAACTGGTTAGTTTAGTCTGCTTGACCAAAAGTGCAATATGTTTGTCCTCATGTAGTGATTACACTGCTGCTCGTACGTAGCAAACTAAAAATACAAACCTCTTATGTAAAAATTAAGAGAAACTGGAATATGCAGAGTAGAAACGACAAGGTTCCCCACCCCTACGTCTTAGAGGGCAGCTACATGGAAGTGACAACAAAATTATTTACAATATGATGATTCAGGTCTGTATTACATCAGCAAATTCCCTTCCTAGACCAGCCCCGGACAAGGAAGGGAATCACTGGACTGGTTGCTGCTGGTCTTACATTACTGGAGGGCACAATGAAACTTCCCAATTCAATTATAATAGCAACTGCAACTGAGAGTGCAGAGAGAAACATATAATGCAAAAAGATGTTCCCACTAGTGATGGAACTTATGTACTCCTGGTGAAATGGAAAGTAGATAATTAGTTTTAAAAGCCAGATATCTCAGCACCTGGCATGTCATTGGTACGGATCAGTACTCTTATTAAACCATTATGCTATAGTCATTTTGTGCTTGGGGCAGTTAAAATTGTACTGATTGCTCTTCTACATTGGAACAACACAGAACATGGCGGCAAAAGTCCTGTAATTATACCGTATGTCGGTAGTTGAGAAGCATACAAATATATTGAGAGTGAACACTGAGGCTTTGAACACTTTCTACTTTCTTTGAACACTAGATTTGGTGCTCTGAGTACTGTGTTGATTTAGTGGTGTGATCCTTGTGTTGCTTTTTGTAATATTTTAGCTTTAGCTGTGCCGTAAGCTCTTCTGCTGACCTTTTAGGTTCTTGAACTTAGTTATACTGTAATCAGGAACTATTAAATGCGTGGCCAATGCTTCCTTGGAAACTGTGGAACATGGATAAATGTTGTTTGCACTGTAAAACTGATGAAAGCCCCCTCTGCAGATCAACCAAAGCCATAATGTCAGAATGATTTATTGCAAGAATGGATTGGACTGCCTTTATCAGTAGTACAACATAGTTATTACAGACTATAAACCAAAGAAGAGGATCCTACATACATTCTCTATTTTTTTGTTGCACTCTTTTTATTATTTCTACAGAATGTGTGGCTTTCTAAATTGAACTTTTACAATAAGCCAAGTGTAAACTCCAAAAGAAGTGTCAAAGTACCAAAGCTGTAAAAATGTTTGTACAATAACATTATGGCGCTATTTTTTTACAAATATATATTGTGCTAAAATTACCAGATATACTTTTAAGATGTTTTTTTATTGTGTGTTTGTATATGGGTATAAAGGTAACATAGTTTGGGTATGTGGATCAGTAGAGTAACTAAGGATTAGCTTGCCAAGCACTGAAAACTTGGTGGAATGACACGTTTTATATTGCTGTTCTTGCTATTGATATGTATATATTTTCATCTCTAGTTTCTAATATGCTGTATTAATATAGCACATACTGTTTTGACTTGAAACAGTGTAGTACTAAAGCAGCAGTATTTGACACAATCATGTATTTTAAGTTTCGCACCTCCTGCCTTAATAAAGTTGAAATAAAGCTGTTATGTATTGTCCCTGATTCTTATTTCACACTTCTGTGATATTTAATAGACTATTTAGGAACATGCTAATGCAGTACATGACATTACAGCTAAGTACATGTGCATATGACCTCACATGATAATTTAAAAAAACTTTTTATTCATCAGATGAATTGCTCTCAAGTTTAACCATTTAATTGCCGGGAATGTTATAATATAATTACTATGTACACCTACATGTATTTTACATGTACGGGCATGGGAAGAGCAAAAGAATTTGGATGACTCTTAATTTAAAGGGACAGATTTATTTATACTATGTTTCAGTCATCAGATTTCAACAGGAACAGCATCAATCAAATAATCTGTGTATTTATTTACTCTGCAAATCAGGTTTAAACAAATACATCCTTCCACGTTCTTGTGCAGTACTCTTTCTATAAGGGTTTGATAGATTAATATATTGTCCTGGCATAGATTTGAAATCGCTTATCATAATATCTACAGTATAATGCCATTTCACCCAGTCTATCTTAGTCTATTTTTCAACTAAAACTACAGACCAACACACTTTTACTGCTGTCAGCTTTGTGGCTGTTAGTATTTTCACAACTAAACCTGAATAAGACAAATTATATAATGGTATGCAGCATTAATCTATTAAAAGGGTACTCCAGAGATTTAGAATTGCACTCCTGTAATACTGTCGGACTCTTGGTGCACAGTAAAAAATAAATAAATAAATTGATGCAGAAAAATATAGATATTGTCTTTTTTATTCCTTGTCAAAACACGGTATCTTCATTAACCACATTGCGACTAGACCTTCATCTGTTGGGTTTGAGATTTGGGTGTGTTATGCTAGCAGTGGAAAATGTATTCTTCAGCTGCTTTGCTCAAGCAGAGAAGAGAGGGCTACAGAGTTAAAAACCTAAAAGCCTGTAAAACTACAACATATTTCTTGGTCAGTTAAAAGATGCAACAAATGGCAAGTGGACCTTGCTTAAAGCTTTTCTAAGTAGACAGTGGCATGCCTATGTAGAATGGATATAACAGGTTTCTTTGTTGCTGTTGAACACAAAAAGACTCAATCATGGCTCTACATAAACAAAGAAGTGAAAGCTGAAAATCAGGTTACCCTGATGGATTAGCATTGAAGCCATTTCCAATGCAGGTAAAGTCCAAAAATGGCCCAAGAGTGGTTTTAAATTACCTGTGGCTGGGCAAAAGCCTGGTTTTATCTTCCAAACCACAGCTGAGAGGAAGCTTGTTTTTTTGCATAAACACATACAATCAATATCACAGGCTCATGAGTGTTGTGATGTTACCTGAAGGAAGTCACAGAACATGTCCTGTCACTTTCTCAGATGCCAAACAAACAGTCATGCGATAAACAGATGGGTGTACTGCATGGATCTGATAACTCACGGGTAGGGTTTATGCCGACTCTATGTAAAACGTGTAACAACTTGTATGTCTACCCCAATTATTCTGCAGTATTCCAATGCAGCATTTGAAAAATATTCATAGTAAGTACTGGAGAGTGAATCTGCATCATAGTGGCAGCTAAATGTGTCATAGTCACTCCGTACCGTACAGAGTACCGTACAGATCTTTTTAAATTCTCATAGTTATCACATGTGTCCTAAAATATATTTTGCTGCTTTTGGTTGTAGTCATTTCTCCATATATCTTATGAGGCTATAATTTTGATATGGGCGTATTTTCATGATTAGAATTTTGTACAGTGTTACCCTACAAAAGCCTGTTGGGATTTTTTTTCCCTCTGGCTCACAGGCAAAAAAAGTCATCTCTTGACTACATTCTTTTCAGGGGTTAGCTCTTTTGGCCATAAGTCATGCCAAAGATTTGACAGCCATGACTGGTGTGTGGCCAGATGTGTGAACATATTTCAAAACTTATATAGCAGAAACTGGCTGTGAAATAAACTATCAGAATGGCAATGTGTGCTCATGTCTCTTGTCAGCAAGTTTCATCATATCACTGTTGGTAGTAGTCAGTGATTCATGTTTATTTTGAAATTCTCCCGTCGCTGTCTGCGCAGATTTATTTACTGTCGCTGAACTCCTCCCTGCTTGCTTGGATGCATATATGTGATGCCTATCTGCAGAATCACACAATAGATCAAGATTTCACACTGGCTTCTATACTTCTCAGAAACTCAAACCAAACTAGATTCTTTTAAGTCAACTTTTAAGTCTTATGGTTGCTCGACTTTAAATGTAGCAAAATGGATCAGATAAGACGTTGCTATTCATCATCATAAGGGCGTAAATTTAAGGTGTGTTTGGCCATAACAGAGCTAAATGTTTACATTTTTTAAATTCAGTACATTAAAGGATACTGTCAACGCATCCAATGAAAAGAACAAAAACTCCACTTCAATTGTCTGTCCTTCAATACTTCCTGACTTCCTTACCCTGTCTGTGGCACTCCCAAGCCCATTCTTTACTATGATCTTCAAAAACTGGTCACCAATAAATTCCTCAATCTTTAGAAAAGGCAAAAAAAAATCCTAAAACAGCTGGCAACTGTGGTTTTTAGCAAAAGCTATTCAAAAGGGAGTAAGAACAGCATTTGCTGGAGACTATTACAGCTACGACTATGCTGGGCTAGCGAGTATTTATGTGGGACTGACTTAAAATAAACAACAATGCCCATGTTTATTGTAATGAAGGAACATGTCACCTGGTGCAGCTGTACATTTCATTGATGGGTTTTTAATAGTGTTTGGACAACAATGCAACCCTATGGCACAAATGAATAAGCTATTTTGCAGCTTTGGATACACATACAATACATGATAGGACAGGTAGCATACATTTTTGGTTGGTTTTGGGTTTTTATGGGATTTGTTGACAGTTAGAATATAGAATATCACCAGACTTTTCCTTTAACAAAAGCTTGTCTCCACATAGTCGTATACTATACCGTAAAGGGTTCTATGGTAAATAAATATATCATATATTGCAACTGAAACAAGGATCTATACTTTGATAGACGAAGAGCAATTTTGCCCTTATTTACCTATACACCTGTAACTATCAAATAAAAACATGACATGGTACATGAAGTATTGACAGGGTTGCTTTTTTTATTCGAGACTTGAGACAGTGAATGGATGTTGAAGTAACTGTTACAAAATTGCATTTAGGACAAGACTGTACTTATTTTTGACACTGGCAAAGCATGACTTGGAAAACCAATTACTATGGTACTTTTTTAGGTTCTAACACCACTTATGATCTTTGTCAGTATAAGCCATATCTATATGCAATATAATTTTAGCTAAACAGCTGTAACTGCAATACTTAGTTGAACATCTGCATCTCTAGCGTATCTCACTGCATTGTTTGACAACAGTTAACATTTTGAGGGACTGGTTCACTCAGAGTGTCATGTCAGTGTTTTACAATCAGTGGCGAACATCATGGCGGACTTCTTCCTCATCCTCTATTTCATCCTCTTCATATTCACCCAGTTCATCAGCTGTGGCATCCTGGTACTGCTGATACTCAGACACCAAGTCATTCATGTTGCTTTCAGCCTCAGTGAACTCCATCTCATCCATTCCCTCTCCTGTGTACCAGTGGAGGAAGGCCTTGCGGCGGAACATGGCTGTGAACTGCTCAGAGATCCTCCTGAAGAGCTCCTGGATGGCCGTGCTGTTGCCGATGAAGGTGGCGGACATCTTGAGGCCACGGGGAGGGATGTCACAAACGGCGGTCTTGACGTTGTTGGGAATCCATTCAACAAAGTAGCTGCTGTTCTTGTTCTGCACACTCAACATCTGCTCATCCACTTCCTTCATTGACATACGGCCACGGAAGATGGCCGCCACGGTGAGGTAGCGTCCGTGACGAGGGTCACAGGCTGCCATCATGTTCTTGGCATCAAACATTTGCTGTGTGAGCTCTGGCACAGAGAGGGCACGATACTGTTGACTGCCCCTGCTTGTGAGAGGTGCAAAGCCTGGCATGAAGAAATGCAAGCGGGGGAAGGGCACCATGTTGACAGCCAGTTTACGGAGGTCGGCATTGAGTTGGCCAGGGAAGCGGAGACAAGTGGTCACCCCACTCATGGTGGCTGATACCAGGTGGTTGAGGTCTCCGTAGGTGGGTGTGGTCAGCTTCAGGGTGCGGAAGCAAATATCGTACAGGGCCTCATTGTCAATGCAGAAGGTCTCATCTGTGTTTTCCACTAGCTGGTGGACAGAGAGAGTGGCGTTGTAGGGCTCTACTACAGTGTCAGACACCTTCGGGGAGGGCATGACGCTGAAGGTGTTCATGATACGGTCAGGATACTCCTCACGAATCTTGCTGATGAGCAGTGTACCCATTCCTGAACCTGTGCCTCCACCCAGTGAGTGGGTGAGCTGAAAGCCCTGGAGGCAGTCGCAGTTCTCTGACTCCTTCCTCACCACGTCCAAGACTGAGTCCACCAGCTCAGCTCCCTCAGTGTAGTGACCCTTGGCCCAATTATTTCCTGCTCCACTTTGACCTGCATGATGGATGTAATGTTTAAAGACAAATCATGTTGGACAAATAATGGTGCCACTTTCTGCTAAGGCATACTTTATTACGTGTGTTTTACGTGTGTTAATAAATTGTAACTAAAGCCTTGTATTGCGATGACATTTTGTACAGACATTTATGGTCTCCAGAGGATGGATCCTAATGAATTTACAGGTCAGATGAATTTTCCTCTAACCCCACCGTGAGGTTGACATATTTGGTTTTGAGTGAACTGTTTATAAAACTGTTGGATGAACTGCAATGAATTTTGGTGCAGACATTCATGCGAGCCTCAAGTACTTTGTTCATGTAGTACCTGAAAAACTGACTAGAGTAAATGGCAACAAGACATTCCCATCTTGAGTTTACTTTGTGTTTAGCGCCAGTTAGGAAAGATTATAGTGCTGTCAAGCTAAACTAAATGGTGACCACGGTAAATTTTATATTTGCTAAACCTTGACACATTAACATTGTAATTTTTAGCACGTTGCCATGCTGACATTAGCATTTAGCTCAAAGCAACACAGTTCTTAGGTCCAGCCTCACAGAGCCGTAGCATTGTTGCCTGGCAACCATAATTTTGTTCTTCATAATGTCTTACTGATCTATAAAGCTTTAATAAACCATGTATTAACAAATAGTAAAGCCATTTCTTAGAACATATTTAAATAATAAAATCTGTATTTATAATTCTTGAGTTCAGAATTAATTACATATATGTTATCATAAAGCTTGAAGACAGTTCTTCTGTTGTATTTCTGGCAAAGAGCAATTCAGAGTCATCCTGTGGTGGACTGTATCTGCCCCTGTATCCTCTCTTGTGATCAGCACTGCAGCATCTTCTCCTAGTAGATTTCTGTTTTGCTGAGTCACCCCGCGAGCTGTCTCAGTCTGACACAGGTGCACATGGGCAATGCATCACACTCCTTGCACGTTGCTCAGAGGCTGCAGAAGCTTTGTGCTTGGAATATACAGTACTGTACAGAGCTCTCGGGTGAAACTAAGCACAGCTTTACAGGATATGACAGCAGCTGCTGACACACACACATTACTGTATGTATGTGCAGTTGGTTAAAAATGAGTGGTGACACCATGATTTATGGTTCACTCACCAAAGACAAAGTTGTCAGGCCTGAATAGCTGTCCAAATGGGCCAGAGCGGACTGAATCCATGGTTCCTGGCTCCAGGTCGACCAGAATGGCACGGGGGACAAATTTGCTGCCTTTGGATGAAAAAGAGCAGAGGAAAGAGGGATAGGGAGAGGTAACGGATGGAGGGGTGAAGTAAGATATCTACAGTCTCAGTGTACATTATGTCAGAGCATTTGCAGTGAGCCATGGACAAAACTGAAAGACTGTATTTTAAAAGATTATTTTCTCCATGTTAAGTATACTGATCTAATAGGTAATACAGCAGTATGGTTTGCTAATATTTTAGGTAAATAGACTTTTGTTTAAAGGATACTACATCCTGTCAATCAAGTTGGATATTTAAAGACTGCATGGTGCCTTCTATTGTTTGTTTCTTGCACTTTACATTGCTCCACCCTGTCTATCTGTACCCCTCTTGCAAGCAATCTGCTGCAGCATGCTGCACTTCTTATTCTAGACCAGTGGGGCTTTCAAAGTGCTGAGCTCTGCAGAGTCCATTTAAACAAAGGTGCAGTGTTCTCCTACCCATCCCTCTTTTGCTCTTGTCATCTTGATTCTGTAAACGTGTATTCTTTTCATTTTCATTTTTAAGGTGAAATTAATTTATGGGATGCTCAGTCAATCCACATGCAATAGTGACCCAGTTGGTACCACTGACGCCAGCATGCAACATGGAAACAAATTATCAATAATGCCTGTTGCTAGGAAATAGGTTAGGGGTAGACATAATAGTGAATATGCTGATTGAGATCTGCGCTGACTTGTCCTTTTCCGACAGCACCAGTCCAAAGGCTGAAGCACTATACACAAAGCCGTATGATTACTGAACCTCGCTGTTTGACTGTTCAGTGTACAGCAGCGGTGAGGAATGATACGATGCATTTGGAATGACCTTCAGCATGCCACACCAATAAAGTCAGATACTGAGACGAGACCAAGGCACAGCAAGCTGAGGGTCAGCTATACAGAGACTGCAGGTACCTGTACTCCCTATAGAGAGAGACAGAGGAGGGAGGGAGGGGGGTGGGACAGGGGGAGACAGAGAGAGATATTTTAGCAGATTCACTGTCCTAATTTTTTCCTGCACTCATGGTGAGACCTACTTTCCCCTTGCAGCCAAATTAGTGACATGAGCATACTGTGGCATTCAAATGAGGTCTGTGTAGCATGAGCTCATGCAAGGATAATAAGTCATGGAAACAAAGCTTTATGTAGTGGTGAATTACTGAGATGCAAACATGTGGTTTATTATATATATATATATATATATATATATATATATATATATATATATATATATATATATTTTATTTATTTATTTATTTTACCTGATGCCTCATTGTAGTAGACATTTATCCTCTCCAGCTGCAGGTCACTGTCACCTTGATAACTACCGGTGGGATCGATGCCATGCTCATCACTTATCACCTCCCAGAACTAAGAAGGGACAAACATCAGTGGTTGGGAGTATGTAACAACAAAGCTTGGCGTGAAAACGAGTTACAGCATGTGAGCCAGGCCGCATTTTAGTAACTGCGCAGCTGCTTGGTGGGAAAATGACACGCAGCAGAGGCGGCCACATCACTGCAGACTGACTCGCAGCAAAGCCCAGCCCAACTGAACTGCATCTTGCACGTACATAAACAATTCTATCTCAAACTTTTTAAAGAGGCATTTTCTGTCCAAACGATGCGAAAGTAGTTATTTAAATGACTCGAGTCTATAAATTATTCAACACAAACATCCCTGGAAAATAGCGCGTGCGACGTTCAGCATCCAAAATTGCAATTACTCCGTTAATTGTTCCCCTTCCTAAATTAAATGACAATATGCATACCTTCGCCCCAATCTGATTCCCACACTGTCCAGCCTGGATGTGAACGATTTCCCTCATGGTGCGCTGCGGATGCGGGCAAAGGACGTCCTGTCTCGACTTCTCCGTGGTCCAGTCTTCAGTCTCTTACCGCTGTGTTTCTCAAAATCAGCACTTGACTCATTTCTATGGCGAGTGTTAAGCCTGCGAGATAGATAAACGTGTTGCTGGTCAGATGACGTTGCACACGGCGCAGCATCCCAGTATCCCCGTCAGCCAATAGGAGCACGCCGGTTTGATGCAGTGGACCAGAGGATCATGCCGCATCACTCCCCTGACATCACCCCGTCCCATGCAGGGGAAATGCTATAAGGCTCAGCCAAATGTCAGCCAGAAAATGTCTGTAATACAGAAGTTCTATGCTGATGTTTGGGATCAGCTATAAGCTAACTGTATAAACAGCCTGTTGTTTTAAACTCCAGGTTGAAAAATTTAATATTTTGACTGGGCATTTGAACCCTCACTATAAACACAGAGATGTTCCTGTTTTAGTTTGAATAATGCAGATGCTGCTATGAGTTGAGAAAAATGAAAATACTATGACCAGGGCCGGATTAACTTGCCAGGGGACCCTGGTGGCAAAAATTATCTGTGGGCTTTGGTTTCAGTTTTTTAGCCACACTAGCTGTGTGGCTCTGGGGGAAACAATTTTGGTCTGATGTTTGGTCCACCACTTTGATCCAGACAGAAATATCTCAACAACTATTGGATAGATTGCCATGAAACTTTATACAGCACCCAGAAGATGAATCCTAATGATTCTGATAATCTCCTGACTTTTCCTCTAGGCCACCATAAGATCCATATTTGCAATCTGGAGTGAAATATCTCAACAACTGCTAATTGGATTGTCATGGAATAAGTAAAGATATTCATGTTCCCCTTAGAATCAATTAGTAACTTTGGTGATTACCTTTTCATCTAGTCAAAAAATATTTTGTACAAAATGTTGGTTTATGACTAAATACCTGAATAACCAATGACATTCACCTTGTGTTTAGTGTTAATTAGCAAATGATGCACAATTACACTTTAAAATGGAACATAGTTAACATTATACCTGCTGATGCTTGTTAGCATGGTCATTATGAGCATATTTGCATGCTGACCGTAGCATTTTGTTCAAAGCATATCTGTGCCTTAATAGCTAGCATGGTTATGTACTCTCAGACTTGCAAATTCTGTTTTAGTGATGCATTTCACCAAGCAAATGTGTAATTAATCATATCACTACAAAGTGATTACCACACATACAACATACAACTTTGAGGCATATCCTCACTCTGCTTGGTTGGTAAACCAGCCTCGGCTACAACCCTTTAGATACAAGGCCTCCAGCCAGCAGTGACGATATTTGACAATTTTTTTGCTTAGGGTCTACTTTTACTAAAATCCATGAAATGTTATAAAATTAAGAACTCACTAATATCCATAGTTGATCAATAAATAGTGGTTTATTTTAACAACAGGTATGGCTTATATACAAGTGCATTATGTCTGTTAAGACGAAAACAAAATGAAACCAAACAATCAGAAATCATAAATGGTACAATCCATGGTTTTTACATTCATTCGAATTTCCCATCAAGGGATTCGGAGTCGCGCGGTTTAGAGAAGCAAAACCTGACATGTGTACACTTGGGACTTTTATCTACCAAATTTAAAACTATTAACCTGTCTATGTTATGATCTATGATCTTCTTCCTTCATCTTATTGAAGATGGGTGTTCTCCACACATTCACTATTTACAAAGGCATAACCCATTCTTCTTTTTGTTTTGCTTTTCCACCCATCGCTGTTTCCTTAGTCAACCTATCACTGGTGCCAACATTGCTTTGGACTGCTTTTACTTTAATTTTACTCTAGATAAAGTTAAACCAAATGCTTATGGGTGTAATATCTCCCATCAGCACCATGAAAACTAGGTGGGAGTTGTGAAAATGGAAGCAACAGATATCAGAGAAGACACTGGATGTATTGTGCTGCGTTATTGTCTTTCTACTGGTGTTGTATTGGGTTTTGGCGATACACAGTTCAATTTCTGCAGAATGTACACTGAGTCAGAGATACCAACAGTCACAGACATTGAGGACTCAAGAGTGATATGAAGATACTGACCACTGCAGTCAACGCACTCTCTACTGCAGATGCCAAGAATTCCTTATTAAATGCAGTGTCAACACCCTGTTCCACAAAGTAGATTACATGTGGGTCTATTGCAAAAGTTAATGTGTAACTAGTCATTTCTGCATTGTATTCAAAATCCCACTCCATTTTCCCTTTTTTTTTTTTTTTTTTTTTAAATTGTCAAGACGCCAAGCTCCACCAAATTTGACATCACATGATTGCAGGGCATTGTGCTTTGAGGCTTAGCAGCATGGCATACGTATGTTACACATTAAATGAATGTTTCACTAAATTTTGTTAAAAGTTTGTTGACTTGATGAACTATTTTAAAGATCATCATGAATCCACTGAGAAAAAAAAAGAGCTTTCATACTTTGATTCAAGCTGCATTTGAGGAAAACAACTGCAATTCTGCTCAATCATCCAGCTACCAAAAGATATGTAGCCTTTGTCAGTGCACATTTGACTTAGATAAAAGCAAAAGAGAATTATGGTGAGTAAAGTACCCGTAAGGTTCTTCATAAGAGTCCCACATTATTGTGACACCTGAATGATACCTTAATAGATCACCAATACTCCCTGGATAAATGTAGTATGATATACTGCCAGATGGTTTTATCACATTGAAATGACAAGACATCAGTCAGTTGGCTCTTAAGTTTTACACTAATAAGTGTGATTATTATTATTTATCATTATTATTGTCATTGTAAACAGTGGTCTATCCGCCGTCATACATCTTTCTCTGACAAATATTACAACCTCCAATGCATGAAGTATGTAACTACAAATGTCAAGTTACACAGAGTATTAAGTCAAGTATAACGCTGCCCAAAGGTGGACAGAGGCTTTGGAAGAGAAAGTAGCTTCTTAAGGAAGAATCTGTCAATTGAAGAATATGAATAGGTTAATCCATCTATAAATAAGGACTTGACCTGTATTTTAAAATGTCATTTTAACAAATATATGAAATATTGCGTTTTTTAAAAGGTAAACTTAGTTGTGCATGTGAATGTTTTAAGACACTGACATACATAAACTACGTTAATGTCAGAACATGATTTGGAAAACACACTGAAGGTTAGTGATGCGGTGACAGTTGGCAATCACATCGAACATTTTGTCATTCATTGGATTCACTTTAAAAATAGCTTTTGTGTCTTTTTAAGGTTTGCGAGTTTGTTTTGCTGACACATTCACAATTATTTTCATGCTTTGTCCCAACTGCAAAGAGTAAGGTGCCACCACACTGAGGTGCCCCAAATACTGTAAGAATGAAGTATATGTTTGTACAATAAGGGCACGCCATGGGAGATTATTCAAAATAATACTTTGAATTGAAAAAAAAAGACTGAATCAAGCTCAACAACTAATTAGACATTTACCTACAATATCGCATTTACAAATAAAAGCATTTGCATACCATAAATTTCATTGACTGAAACGATTGGAAAAATAAAAGTTTCTTCAGACCGACAAAATATGGGTCATTCTTTTCTCTACTCTTACAATGAACCACATGTTGATGAAAGCAATTGAACAACCTCAATTTCATCTCTCAAATATAATTTATCAAATGGTGCTATAGTATTTCAGTCTTATTAATTTGATGAATAATGCAATGCCTCTATTTCTGAACTTTGGAATTGGGTTCATCTGATTCACTTTAATCCACATACGGTCTATGGCAGGGGACTGCACTCAAAATTATTTACCCAAACAGGCAAATACTGTATTTATACTAATTTTTTGGCACTAGGTCTACATTTAATTTTGGTCAGAGAAGTTTTTTGGCGTTGCATTTAGAAAAATCACTCCAATTTGGATTGTTTACCTCTGTAATGGCAAAAAATACTTTGTAACATTCAGATTCTTTTTTTTTAATCAATACAGGTAAGGTGATATTTTTACACAAATATGTTAGAAGAACATTTAATTTGAGCAAAAGTACCACTGATTTGATTTTTTTAAATGTCATTTGTTTGTGGTTTTGCATCATTGTATTTCTCACCAGTCCTCTCAGTGATTGTGGGTATAGTTGTGAGTCTCTTTAAAATGACAGACAGTGATTTCCCATTCATTTACATCAAAGTAGTTTATAGGCTGGTGATTTCCAGTGACATTCAAAAAGAGCAGAAGATACTGTCACATTGTCACAAACCAGCCTCTGGCACTCTCTCACTTGCGTGGTCTTATTTATTGGCTAAATGCAGGAAGAGGGGGACATTGAGAAACGTACAGCAGCTCTGTAGGAGATGTCTACTCAACTCCGGGTGGGGACAGTCTTCATTGAGTGCCTGAAGTCTGAGCAGGACAGTTTGTGCCCCCTTCATATTCACGTGGCGTAGGCTGCTTCCTCGGCAACCGTAAAGCCCCTTTTGCTGGCTGCAACACTGGATCATGACGACGGCACGCCATTGACAGTGTTGTTTTCTGTGCTGGAACTGTCCCTGATAGAAAGGACACCAATGTCTATGGGGGAGGAAACGGTGCAGTCCATTAGAGAGGGGGGAGTTGCTTCTGTAGAGCCAGAATCCATAGTGGAAATTGGTACGGAATCTATAGCCGGGGAAGCAGCTGAATCCTGCGTGGGCTGAACAATGTCTGTGACAGTAAGAGTGGCTGATTCTGGAGCGGAGGTGTGCACAATGTCTGTGACAGGAAGAATGGTAGAAATCGGTGCGGTGTTGTTGACAGTATCTATGACAGAGGGAGTGGAGGAGTCCACTGAGGGCATATGGACTGAGTCAGTGGGTGGAGGGGGAGTGGGTGAAGGGGAAACAGTGAGTGGGCTAGGTGGAGCAGGGGAGTAAGGAGATATATCATTAACATAGGGAGAGGTAGAGTCTAACTGTGGCGGTTGGGAGTCTATGACAGGAGGTATGGGGGAGTCTCTAGTGGAAGGACTAGGTGTAGATTCGTCTACTATTTCTAACTGGATGTGAATGTCAGAGAGTGCGCTAATGGAGGGTGGAGGGTAAGTGGAAATGTTGAAATCTGTCATCGGAACAGGAGAGGGGGTCGGGGATGGAGGAAGACTGTCTTTCATAGATGGAGTAGGGGAGTCTGCTAAAGTGGCGTGAGTGTCCTCTAGCAAAGGTGGGTCTAATTTCAGGGTGACTCTGTCGATCTCATTACCCAGTGGGTTGGGCGATTCTAATGTGGAGCTAGGCGGGGGTTCGATGATGGGCGTGGTGCAGATCAATAAGGAGGCAGGCACAGTTGGAGGGGTAGGGGGAGTGGAAGAGTCCAATGAAGGGGCATGATTAGCGGCTGACTCTTTTGTAGCGGAGGGACCAATGTCATTCATTTTAGGAATAGCAGAATCCGTCAGTGGATCAACCGGATCCAAGACTTTTGCTGGAGGTTCTTCGGCTTTGGCTAAAAGTGAGTCTGTGATGCATGGGGCTATGTGTAAAGGAGTGGAAGACAGCAGGTGCTCTTTACTGGCATGTATGATGCCGTCTTTACCCAGGGCTGTGATGGGGGCCGTGGATAACGATGAAACTGAGAGACCGTTGGGGTCTTTGGGCTCAGGCTTGCCAGGGTGCACCTCCATGAATGTTGGAGCGGACATATCTCCGACCGACGGAACGGTCAAATCAACAGCCGAAGAGGCGGTGGAGTCCATAGTGGACACTGCGATGGTGGCTGCTTCATGGAGTGGCGTGTCATGCACCCTGGTGTAGTCCCTGCTGCTCTCAGATTGGGGCAGCAAGAGGCGCTGTTCTCCAGGTTTCCTCGGGGGGAGGAGAGGTTGACGAGTGTAGCTCTCGCCATCAGCCAGGGTCTCGGGGAGGGGCTGGTAGCGTGTTTCGGGCAGCAGGAGAATGCATATGATACAGATGAGAGTGCAGCAGGCAAAGATAATGTGGTGAAGGAAATAGCCCTTCTGATTGTGGAGCTCCATGATGGGTGCAGTCAGCATGCCGAAGCCGGCACTGGCCAGGACCAGGCCCAGACCACCACCCCTATGATGAGATGGAAAATGTTATCACATTGTAGGATTTAGGATTTATGGTCACACATACCTAAAAACGTCATAAACCACCTAGAGGGGAAGACAGTTAAAGTAAATCATGAACTAGAGTATATGTTATACTGTCACCTAAATCATCTATAGGAAGGGAAGCTCTTATTTTTGCTCCAAGCTTCTGTTGACATATCGCTGTTCTTATATCGAACAGCAGCAGAGAGTGCTGCAGTACCACCAAACGCCCACCTCTCATATTGCACATGCAGTCCCATTCCTAGACCATAAGTGCCTAAGTTCACCACCAGAGGCCGCGCTTGGAGCACTGTCAGCAGAACACCACCCCTTGCATAACTCCAGATAATGAGCACGCTGTGCTATGTCACATATTCTCAGAGGGGATGCATAATTTGTACAAGATGTGGATTACATTTGACACTGAACTGTGAGAGTCTGTTGTTTCCAGCAGTTCAATGATTTCATTCCCTCCCTTTAACAGGAGGTGGAGCAGCACATCCATCTGCAGGAACATGTGATGGAAACCACCCACTGCATGAACTGAACTTTATGCAAGTCAGTACAATAAAACAGTTGTTAAAAGCCCTTCAAATTCTCTTTTTTTTGCACATTCTTCTCATTACTTGTGGACTGATGACTTTTATAATTTTAGTGCACAAACTAGAGCAAACATGGACACATTGTGAACTAATCACCTACGTGTTCAAAGCATGTGCTATACATATATAGCCATTTCACTCCTCTCAAGAATCAAAGCACATTTTTCACATTTTGTCGCCCTCCTCTAACACTACAGTCCCAGTGTTTCAGTGGGCTTACCTGATCACTGTGGGTGTGATCTCAGCACAGAAGAAGATGCTCAAGTTGCTGACTGCGTGGGAGGAGAACATGCCGATGATGGAGAAGGCGATAGAGAAGTTCTTATTCAGTGCACTTGAGTTATCTGCAGACATTGCAGGAGACACACACATTCGGCAATTTGCACTCAGTACTCTGGACAACAGTGCTGCACATGTAAATAGGGACTGTGGAGGGAGGGGGAAGTATTTTCTGCTTTTCAGAGGTAAAGATTATTTTCAAAAAGCTAAACATACAGTATTTTGAAGTATTAAAATAAATGATTTGGTTTAAAAGATGATATTGCAGCATACAGAGATAAGATTGAAATGGCAAAAAATTAAGAATATCTGGCACCAAAGAAATGCCGTAATAATTTGAATTTTGATAACTGTATACCTAATTGTGAAACTGAACCACAACTGAATACTTAAATTTACATCATTAAGAACATCTTTCTAAATGTGTATGTTGTTTTTTTCCCCATGTTTTTTCAAGTGGTGCAATTTATAAAAACAAAAAAGAAAAAAAAAAAAGTAGTAATTTTTGGTTTCACAAATTCCAAAAATCCCAGCATCAGAGGATTTAACCTGATACGAGAAAGGTCTGATTGATTACTTCAGGTTTATTATCCTTGGTAGCCCAAATGCTGAAGTAATTTTTTTTTAAATCAGAATTTGAAAAACTGAATTTGAGCAACTTGAATGAGTCCTCTCAATGAGTTTTTAATTGAAAGACACAGAATTTGTGCATTTGTGCGCCCTTAAAAAATTATATCAAGTTGATTAAATTGTACTTAACTTGGAAGACCACCATTCAAACCACATCAAGATGGATTTCAAAGTAAAATAAAAATTATATATAATATACAAATTCAGTGCAACATCAATTATTCAGTGGTAGTTACATTATAAAATTAGCGTTTTTAAAATTTGCTCCCATGGGATACCACATGCTGTATCACCTCAGTTAAAAAGAAAATTCTATGGAAATGAATGTAGTGTATCTATATTTCCTCCAGCACAAGAGATCCTCTAACTGGATCATATAATGCAGGTCCTTTCATGGCATTTTAGCATCTATCATCACAACTTACTTCAAACTGTGCATTTAGAAAAACCTGGGGGTAAAGTGCCAATAAACTTTGGTCAAATACAATGTTATGTCTCCCAGCACTAACATTTATTTTGATGAGTTCTTGAGGAATTGCCTTGTATACAAACAAAGATCCCATTTAAGACGGTTTGAATACAGTGTTGATGAATATGAATATGACACATTGAAGATGGCATAAAGAGCCTCAGAGGGAGACTGCTCTGTGATCAGCACTTGCTTCTCACAGGGAGATTAGCAAGGAAAGACCAAAGAGATTGAGAAATAGAGGAGAACCGTGAATGAAGGCTGGTTGTTAGATTCAGAGTTCTATAGCAAAGAGGCTCACCCTCTTCAACACAAAGGGGATAAATAAGTGAGAAGCTAGCCATAATTACAACTAAGACTTCATTATGTGTCTCTGCAGGGCTTGTGTACGCCTAATGAAATACTGCAGGATGTCTGCATGCAGTACATTCTCTTAAACCTCATCAAGATAGTGCAGCAACCTAGACAATTTAATTGACAGTCTGAAAGAATGTGAAGTTGAAGGAATGAAAGTGGAAAAGCATTGAGGCAGGAGTACTCAGTTACTGATCAGTTTATCTACCCAACTCAAATACAAGACTTGAGAAGAATAGAAATAAAACAGACAATCCTACCTATATTCAGATGACCGCTGTACTTCCCCAGCACTACAGGGAGAATGAAGGAAATTAACAGATATGTATCAGTGAGAAACACAAAGCAGGGAAATCATCACATGCACTCAAAACATATACATACTGGAGTCAAACATTAGGAACAAAAACAGGCACACATGTTGAGCAAAGCTTGTCAACACGCTGTTACATCATAGACAACTTCAAATTGGAACATGAAACATGAGCATAACCTTGATGTGTTGACTCAGGTTAAACATTAAGCCACTTGTAACTGAATAAGCTAGACATGTGTACTGTTGTGATCATCTGAGGCACTTTTCTGGTACACATTGACTAAAACAGCAGATTGTGATCATGTTCGACTACTCTTATTACAAACAGCTAAAAGTAAGAAAGCCTCTACATAGTACACTCACCATAGTCAGTGTAAGCTTTTACAGCATGTGTGTAGGAGACAAATGAATTGGGCTGCTAATGGTCAAGATGTCTCAAATTTAGTCAGTTTTAAAGCATTCACATGTGTAAAACAAAATTGCAACAATCATTCATTTGTAAGACACTAGATATGCTCATATCAATCATGTCAATAAACAATACTGGTGACATATTGTCCTCCCCAGCCTGAATAGGACACTGGCCAGTCACTTCGGCTATGATAGGTTCCTCTTTAACACAAATGTGTTGATGAATTTTGTTTTTAAAAAGCTAAACAGTTTCCTAAAACAGCGCGGTGCTGTTGTTTTTAGTTAACATTATTTAGGAGTTATTAGACATGGATTTGTTGGGGACTATTTTCTGCCATGCCTGAATACATATTTGTGGCACTAACGAGAGTACTTCCAGCAGTAGAATGTGTATTGAATGTGTGTGTGGAAAACATCAGCGTCCATGTTCATTGTACCGAAGGAATAAGTCACCCAGTGCAACACTGTGGCTCGTTAATACACTGCTCAAAAAAAATAAAGGGAACACTAAAATAACACATCCTAGATCTGAATGAATGAAATAATCTCATTAAATGCTCCTTTCTTTACATAGTTGAATGTGCTGACAACAAAATCACACAAAAATTATCAATGGAAATCAAATCTATCAACCCATGGAGGTCTGGATTTGGAGTCACACTCAAAATCAAAGTGGAAAACCACACTACAGGCCGATCCAACTTTGATGTAATGTCCTTAAAACAAGTCAAAATGAGGCTCAGTAGTGTGTGTGGCCTCCACGTGCCTGTATGACCTCCCTACAACGCCTGGGCATGCTCCTGATGAGGTGGCGGATGGTCCCCTGAGGGATCTCCTCCCAGACCTGGACTAAAGCATCCGCCAACTCCTGGACAGTCTGTGGTGGATGGAGCGAGACATGATGCCCCAGATGTACTCAATTGGATTCTCTGGGGAACGGGCGGGCCAGTCCATAGCATCAATGCCGTCCTCTTGCAGGAACTGCTGACACACTCCAGCCACATGAGGTCTAGCATTGTCTTGCATTAGGAGGAACCCAGGGCCAACCGCACCAGCATATGGTCTCACAAGGGGTCTGAGGATCTCATCTCGGAACCTAATGGCAGTCATGCTACCTCTGGTGAGCACATGGAGGGCTGTGCGGCCCCCCAAAGAAATGCCACCCCACACCATTACTGACCCACCGCCAAACCGGTCATGCTGGAGGATGTTGCGGGCAGCAGAACGTTCTCCACGGCGTCTCCAGACTCTGTCACGTCTGTCACATGTGCTCAGTGTGAACCTGCTTTCATCTGTGAAGAGCACAGGGCGCCAGTGGCGAATTTGCCAATCTTGGTGTTCTCTGGCAAATGCCAAACGTCCTGCACGGTGTTGGGGTGTAAGCACAACCCCCACCTGTGGACGTCGGGCCCTCATACCACCCTCATGGAGTCTGTTTCCGACCGTTTGATCCGACATGCACATTTGTGGCCTGCTGGATGTCATTTTGCAGGGCTCTGGCAGTGCTCCTCCTGCTCCTCCTTGCACAAAGGTGGAGGTAGCGGTCCTGCTGCTGGCCTCCTCCACGTCTCCTGATGTACTGGCCTGTCTCCTGGTAGCGCCTCCATGCTCTGGACACTACGCTGACAGACACAGCAAACCTTCTTGCCACAGCTCGCATTGATGTGCCATCCTGGATGAGCTGCACTACCTGAGCCACTTGTGTGGGTTGTAGATTCCGTCTCATGCTACCACTAGAGTGAAAGCACCGCCAGCATTCAAAAGTGACCAGAACATCAGCCAGGAAGCATAGGAACTGAGAAGTGGTCTGTGGTCACCACCTGCAGAACCACTCCTTTATTGGGGGTGTCTTGCTAATTGCCTATAATTTCCACCTGTTGTCTATTCCATTTGCACAACAGCATGTGAAATTGATTGTCAATCAGTGTTGCTTCCTAAGTGGACAGTTTGATTTCACAGGAGTGTGATTGACTTGGAGTTACATTGTGTTGTTTAAGTGTTCCCTTTATTTTTTTGAGCAGTGTAGTTTTTGGGCAACAATGGAGCTCTACAGCACAGAGGATTAACATATATGACACTTTGGATACACAGAGAATACTTGGATAGTACATCTAGCATCAATGTTTTTTGGGTTTCCAAGAACTCCTAAAACTGGGGTAGGCAACATTGGAGATCTAGCAAGAGACATCTAGATTTTGAAAATGTCCAATCCAAATAAAATCCAAACTCCTCCTTTCCGATCTCTTTCCAAAGCTACTCCCATAAAACACATTTTCATGCCCAGGCAGAGCATGCGCAGGTAGGCAGGCAGGTAGGTGGTAGACCAGCCAATCATTTCATACAGACCCAATGAAATGATTGGCCAAGCTTACCGTATTACACAGATACTTAAAAAAATGCTTCTGAAATAAACTGCCTATCCCAGCTTTAAATAGTTTGAATCCTGTTTTAGAGTTTCTTCAAAATGGAGTACTGCAAGAGATATTCAAAGCCAAAAAACATCATCATTCAAGAATGAAAAGAAATGTATGTACAAGTGGACATGTGTTCTCCAAATACTCACAATTGAGCAGGCCCAGCTGCAGCAATGATGCCAGGGCGGTTATGATCATAAACATGAGAAGACCACCCCGCCGGCCCATCAGGCCCACTGCTGGGCACAGCGCCATGCAGGATGCCACCGCAATGCCTGCCATAGTGTAATAATCTGCATAGAAGTTATGGAACATGGTCGTCTCCTGAGCTTCAGGGTCCATCATGCTGCGGGCAAAGCAGTGGTGGATCCCATAGCCTGTTAGCCTGGGTAAAGAACATACACAGGGCAGAGAAGTGAGGTAGGAGAGAACATATCAGAGAATACAGTGGCAAAGCTAGGGGATACTAGTAGTGAAGCTATGAACAGTGGGAGAGAATAGTGAAAAGAAAAAATAGATTGAGGGGATAAAATGATGAAAACAAAAGGAAAAAGATGCAGATAAAATAGATACAAGTGAATCTAAAAGATGAAGAGGTTGGGGTGAGGCGGAAGAGGGGCGATTCAAGGTTTATCACATGTTGTCTCATCTCAAAAAAATGGCACACATGAGAACACTGACATATTGACACAGAAGCACACACCCCACAAGCATACACAAAAACATGAGCAAACAATCACACCCTCTCCCCTGGTTGTCTAATGTTTCATAAGGACACAGCTCGTGCAAAATTGATGCTGACTTAGGGAGTCAGGTGCACCGTCTGCTGAAGCAGAGCTAAAGCTGGGTCTGCCTAGCTAGAGAAGAAGAGGAGAGATCCCACTGGAGATGAAAAGAGAGAGCAGCACAAATATGGAAGGGAAAAAAGTGTTGAGGGCTACTGATCGATGCTGTATCGAGCCTCTAGGTTAATAGTGGCACCTTGCCTGCACAAAATGGCTGGTTGACTGGCATTGCCTCACCCTACACAGTCATACAAGCACACACCCTTTTTTCTCTCTCTCGGTTTTCGGATGCTTCCCACGCACATTATCACCCTGACACACAAATGTCCCAACAGTAAGTACTTATACATGAGAAAAACACTTACGAGTTGACGCACAGCACAACGATATTCTTCCACAGGTTCCTCGTCCCGACCATTTTCACAATGCATGTCTTTTTGGGTTTCTTTTGAAGAGCTTTCTGCAGTTCTGGAAGCAAGCAAGAACACTAATATTTGATCCAGATGGCCAATATCTGACTTGTGAGGCTGATATTTGAGCACTTGGTCAATGCATAAATTAATTCTTAATGTTGTTTGGTCTTTATTATTCCTACGTTAGAGCATCACAACATACTACTATACTACTACTCGCAATACACTCACAGGCCACTTTATTAGGTACACCTGTTAACACAAATACAGTCGTATGCAAAAGTTTAGGCACCCCTGACAATTTCCATGATTTTCATTTATAAATAATTGGGTGTTTGGATCAGCAATTTAATTTTGAGCTATCAAATAACTGAAAGACACAGTAAGATTTCAGTAGTGAAATGAGGTATATTGGATGAAAAGAAAATGTGCAATATGCATCCAAACAAAAGTAGCCGGGTGCATAAATAAAAACAGAAATATCACATCAATATTTAGTTGAGCCTCCTTTAGCAGAAATAACGGGCTATAGATGCTTCCTATAGTCTGTAATGAGTGTCTGGATTCTGGATGAAGGCATTTTGGACCGTTCCTCTTAGCAAAACATCTCCAGTTCAGTTAGGTTTGATGGTTGCCGAGCGTGGACAGCCCACTTCAAATAACACCACAGATTTTCAATGATATTCAGGTCTGGGGACTGGGATGGCCACTCCAGAACATTGTACATGTTCCTCTGCATAAACGCCAGAGTAGATTTTGAGCAGTGTTATGGGTTCGTTGTCTTGTTGAAATATCCAGCCCTGGTGTAATTTCAACTTTGTGACTGATTCTTCTACATTATTCTCAAGTATCTGCTGATATTGAGTGGAATCCATGCAACCCTCAACTTTAACAAGACTCCCAGTACCGGCACTGGCCACACAGCCCCACAGCATGACGGAACCTCTACCAAATTTTACTGTGGGTAGCAAGTGTTTGTCTTGGAACGCTGTGTTCTTTTGCCGCCATGCATAACGCCCTTTCTTATGACTATAATAACTCCATCTTTGTTTCATCAGTCCACAGCACCTTCTTCCAAAATGAAGCTGGCTTGCCCAAATGTGTGTTTGCATACCTCAAGCGACTGTTTGTGGCATGTGTGCAGAAAAGGCTTCTTCTGCATCACTCTCCCGTACAGCTTTTCCTTGTGCAAAGTGCGCTGAATTGTTCAACGATGCACAGTGACACCATCTGCAGCAAGATGATGTTGTAGGTCTTTGCAGGTGGTCTGTTTTTGACCGTTCTCACCATCCTTCGCCTTTGCCTCTCCAATATTTTACTTGGACTGCCACTTCTGGCCTTAACAAGAACTGTGCATGTGATCTTCCATTTCCTCACTATGTTCCTCACAGTGACCACTGACTGCTTAAATCTCTGCGATAGCTTTTTGTAGCCTTCCCCTAAACTATAATGTTGAACAATCTTTGTTTTCAGGTCATTTAAGAGTTGTTTTGAGGCCCCCATGTTGCCAATCTTCAGAGGAGAGTTAAAGAGAACAACAACTTGCAATTGGCCACCTTAAAAACCTTTTCTCATGATTGGATTCACCTGTCGATGAAGTTCAAGGCTTAATGAGCTCACCAAACAAATTGTGTGTTCCAATTAATCAGCGCTAGGTATTTACAGGTATTCAAATCAACAAAATGACAAGGGTGCCCAAATTTATGCACCCGTCTAATTTAATTCATACATATTGCACATTTACTGTTCATCTAATAAATCTCATTTCACTACTGAAATATTACTGTCTTTCAGTTATTTGATAGCTCAAAATTAAACTGCTGATCAAAACACCCAATTATTTATAAATGAAAATGATGGAAATATTCAGGGGTGCCTAAACTTTTGCATACGACTGTAGCTAATCAGCCAATCATATGGCAGTAACTCAATGCATTTAGGCATGTAGACATGGTCAAGACAAATCAAAGACAAACCGAGCATCAGAATGGGGAAGAAACGGGATTTAAGTGACTTTGAATGTGGCATGGTTGTTGGTGCCAGACGGACTGGTCTGAGTATTTCAGAAATTGCTGATCTACTGGGATTTTCACGCACAACCATTTCTAGGGTTTACAGAGAATGGTCAAAAAAGAGAAAATACCCAGTGAGTGACAGTTGTGTGGACAAAAATGCCTTGTTGATGTCAGAGGTCAGAGGAGAATGGGCAGACTGGTTCGAGATGACAGAAAGGCAACAGTAACTCATATGACCACTTGTTACAACCAAGGTATGCAGAATACCATCTGTGAACTCACAACACGTTGAAGCAGATGGGCTTTAAACGCGCCAGTCTACCAGAGTATTGTTGCTGACCATGTCCATTCCTTTATGATCACAGTGCACCCATCTTCTGATGGCTTCTTCCAGCAGGATAATGCACCATGTCACAAAGAACATGAACATGACAATAAGTTCACTGAACTCCAGTGGCCTCCACAGTCACCAGATCTAAATCCAATAGAGCACCACTGGGATGTGGTGGAACGGGAGATTCGCATCATGGACTTGCAGCTGACAAATCTGCAGCAAGTGCGTGATGCTATCATGTCAATCTAGACCAAAGTCTATGAGGAATGTTTCCAACACCCTTGTTGAAAGTATGCCACGAAGAATTAAGGCAGTTCAGAAGGCAAAACGGGGTCCAACTCTGTACTAGAAAGGTGTACCTAATAAAGTGTGTGTAGAACTACTGGATATATGTATTTTTCCCCCCACAAGCTATAGTTTATGTTTGTAATCTAAAAATGTATTAATTCATTTTAAATAATAATTGAAATAAAATACATTATACCACAAAATATTTTACACAGGTACAGTATTTAGGAAAATAAGAGTCAAAAATACCTAAAATGCTGTCTATTAAAATGTATGTATGTTAATTTTTTATGTGCATGTCTGCCAACATGTACATTTTAATAAGGTGATACCAGCCAATATTATAAGCCTGCTTTTATATCCACCAGGATCTAGTTAATGTCATCGTGTCAAGTGGAGTTTTGAGATCAAAGGAAAGTTCAACAGCAGTCTGGCTTCTCTAAAGTGTCACACAAGGATGCCCCTGATTTATTGCAACCACAGAAAATTTAAAAATGTATTTTTAATGAGCATGTTACATCCCACATGACTAGTCTCCCACTGCTCTGTGAGACAGGTACGACAATGCTCACTGAAGAACAGGAACAGTTCCTTAGAGGGCAACACCCCTGAGCCGCAAGCGATATGAAACACAGCACACAGTGGATGTTTTGGTATCAGACTGCACGTTGCCAAAGAAACACACGACTCTGCTTTGTGGTACTGTAAATTCATGTTGACTCATGCATGTGACAGCATTCCACACCATTGCCTCAAGGTTATCTCTGGCTGTATCACACAGGCTTCCCAGTGATCTCTTGGCTGCACTACAAACCTCTTAAGTAAGCCTATCCCTACTGAGATCTATTTGTATGGAAATCATTCTGCTCACTTTGTGAAGATGACCTAATCAGTAGGTACGCATGCATCTGTCATGTCTCAGTTATTGAAAAATTTCCTCAACTGGTATTTAGTGCTGAACAGTTTAAAGCAGGAAATATTACTATAAGGGTCGGGGACAGCCAGTTACTATAAAAGCAACAGTGGATAAATGAATCTGTGGCAATGTACTTTTCCCAATGCTGCATCAGCACACAGTTCTAAAAAAAGTGCAGTCAATTTCACACTGAGTGGTTCCTCTTTGAGCCTCTTCCCGGCAGTGACACAGTTTCTCTAAATGTATTGAAAGCTACAGCCAGCAATGGCAGGACAAGCATAGGTATAAAAGTATACCACTGTACACAGCACTGTTAAAGCATAATACAAATGCAGTCAGCTATGGCGTTTAACAGCAGCACAGTTGACTTATACACACTAACAGTAAACATGGGGTCAAAGGGCCTGACCTGCATCCACCTGCCATCTGTTTCACTTGTTGGCTCGTGTCCACCCACCCGGGCTATAATAAAGTTAATAAGCATTCTAGAGTGTCATAATGTAATGTTCAACACCCACTGCTACCTCTGGAGAGGTCTGTTACTATGGTATCCAGACAGGAAACTCATATAACCTTGTCAATCTGGCTCGTTTAGGAAAGCACAGCTGGGGGATACTACAACACCCTCGGTGCTTTCAAAAAAGATAAAAACAAAGAGCTTGGAAGATGACACTGTAGCAAAATATAAAGACACAGTAACTACTTTAACATACAAAATGCATCAACAAATATGTAATAATATCAAAATGTAACAAGCAGGCTTTAAATGCTGATTTCCTTCAATTTAGTGTCACTGTATATGTTACCTGTGAGGATATTATCGGCGTCAAGCTCCATGTTCACTCGGTTTTTCTTCGCTATGTGTCCCATGATCCACTTGGAGCGGCAGTACTGCTGAGTGGCCAGCAGCCAACGCAGTGACTCAGGGAAGATCCTGCCAAAAAAGATGGGGGATGTCCTCATTAATAACACATGAAAAATGAGTCAAAAGAAAATGAATCCTTCTTTTAAAAGGCTGCTTGAAATCTCTCTTCATCAGGGTTTGCCATATTAGATCATTTTTTGGGGGCAAACCAGTGTGCTATTTCAACACATTTTGAATTAGGGGAACAACAAACAAACACATGACTGCCAGCCATTGTTATCTCTCTCCCTTCTTTCATTTGTGACGCTCTATTATGTGGTAGTTGTAATGCATTATGTGGCACACATTCCTCTGAGCAGTCAGGTTTCACCTCGCAAAAATCTGTTAATGTGAAGATAGTCAGCAAAAAATCAATGCCACATTTGCCTCAGTTGGTTGAAATTCTCTGGAACATATGTCTATGAAAGTCAAAGTGCAGGATTTATGGTCTTGGTTGTTCTGGGCATAGGTCCATGCTTTTAAAATTCCCAGAATCCTCTTGTGAAGGCAGACTCAAGCTCGCTGATGTATTTGTGTATCTCAGTAGTGTGTGTTGTGAAGACAGCTCTATTTCATGTGTGGAAAGAGGCTACAGTGTTGGCTAGGTTGAGTTCACTGTCCAGTATTATCTGTGTAAAAATATCAGTTTCACCACCCGCTTCAGGTTCTATAGTCTTTTTCAGCCAGCAAAGCCACGATCACATCAAAGCAAACTGTTACAAAACCCCTCCACAGCTTCACCACCTAACTGCTGAGTGGTGAGGGGTATCTTCGTATACGCAATCCTTCCTATAAATCTTTTACAGCAGATCTGAGGACACTGGAAACCCCCCCTTTGTTCTTCAGGAACACCATGGAAGAAAGTGAAGGCCTTCGATAAAATCTATATTCTTGGATTTTCTTCTACTGGCATTGTAGACATCAGCAGTGCTGTGCCGCACTGTGCATCACCGTAGAATAAATGGAGGAGGATACGCGAGTATTTATTGCCTGAGCTTTAGCAAAACAGACTGCAGTCACGGTAGAGGTCACTGCAAAGGAGTTAACGAAAAGATATTTCATTCAGCTGGGAATACACTGCAGAAAAATGTCCTTGGAGGTAAAACATTCTCCACTTTTAAAGCAAGTCAATCTATGAAGGCATCTTTGGCTTAACAAGGTTTGATTTAGACTACAAAAACACAGGTTGTCTAGAATCAAACATGTATAATTTTAGTGCAGATGGCACTGCATATTTCAGCATTAGAAGGGTCTTGTGTCGAATTTAAAGTGAAAAACTTTAACAGAAAAAGAAAACCAAAAGATTGGTTGGTGCAGCACATGCTCCGGTCTTTTCCTTACCAGATGTAGGACAGCATCAGCAGGAGGGGGCAGATGATGACAGCTTGGAGTACCTGCCAGTCGCGACAGAGGTATGCCATCCCGGGCATCAGAAGCTGACCACCCAACATCACAAAACTGGCCACCATGGTCATGGAGAAACGGCACCCTGGCAGGCACAGCTCAATCCCTGGCAGAAAGAATGAAGAGGAGAGAAACAATACATGTGTTACTAGGTTTTCTGCAACAGAAAAAAAACACAAAATGGGCATTTTTGAAATTTTCAAAATGGCACATTTAGTCTAGTTATAACATAACTATTTGTGGAGAGAGTAGATGTTACTGACAAAAACTAACGTTAGCTTGCCAACATTGATCCGTTTATATTGAAGCATAAAAGATAAAATGGAACATGGTCAGCATATCTGACCCAACAATGATGTAAACAAGGAAGACCACATCTGACATATCTCAAATTACAAAAGGTTCTGCCAATGATATTAGGCTATGATGTAAAAATGTCAGCTAGGTTAGCACAAATGGTGTAAGTTCCCTTATTCTAAACTGCGTGAATACTACTAAATCTGAAACACACACGTCTCCATGGATGCATATACTAAATAAAATAAAAAATAAAAAATAAAAAGTAATACCTAAAAAGCATTTGGCTGTTAAATTTAATGTATGATTTCCCCTGTTTATTTTTGGACGTTTCCTCATGCTGACAGAGACATGCCAGAGTTCACCACCTCTGAGTAGGTGAGGCAGACGAGCCAGAACAACAAAACACACATAATTCTCAGGCCATCGTATGTTATCACCACTACTGTATTAATACTGTGACTTTTAACACAAAGTAACATTGCACATTGCACAATATTACAGCACTGGAGCCAGTGACACCACAGTTAAAAGAACATCCAGGAAACATGTGTCAAATAGTGCTGAAATATTCAGTTAATTAAAAATTTATCTAACAATTAAAAAACTGTATCAAAACATTATACATTTTTAAAACGTAGCATGCAAGAATACCACACTTTTTCTGGTTGCAGCCTCTCCATCTGAAGATTTGCTACTTTTCTTTTTTATATCAATATAAATTAAAAATCTTTGCTTTTTTGGACTGTTGGCTGGACAAATGAAGCTATTAAAAGACAAATTGTGATTGAACTAATTTACAAATTTATAGACTACACAATTAACTGATTAAAAACTATGTCCTAGTGTCAAAAACAAATACAAGTCACTTTTACAGCGCATGAGATTTTATGACATTAAATAAAGGCAATAAATCACCACGTACAGTTGTAGTTCAGAGACAGCAGACAGACCAAAACAGTAGGCTGCTGTGAGAGTGAACTAACTAGAAAGAGGTTCCTTGTACTCAATTCTTCTCTATCAGAATGTCACCGATTCATTCACCCAGCCATTAGCATGCACACCACAGTGGCAGCCAGTAACCACAGACAGTCCGGCCCTTTTGGTTACTGCAGTGTAGAGGACACATCAAACCATAGAAAGAAAGGAGTACTGTAATGCTGCTATTCACATACTGAGCAAATCTTTTGTCATGCTTCATTCTTCCCTTTTTCTTATAAATCACTATTTGTTGTCCTAAAGAGTCTTTTCTGCTGCCCAAGAATGTGGACAGTCTCCAGATGAGCCTTTCAAGGTGACATGGCCAGCATAATACAGTGGGTGTCGGCGGCCCTGCTTCATTCCAGTGGGAAAGACCGGAATTTCAATTAGGACTTGCCCCCTTCTGAGGACATGAATAATGCTCTCTGTTCACAGACACTATCGCAGCTGGAATGACAAAGCCAATGAGCTGAGAGCAGGGCGATGGGTGCAAGACCTGCTGAGTTTGAACCAACTAACCTCGAGATGCCTTCTCTGTGTGCTGCTGGGAGAAAAGTGACGGTTCACTGGTTCTGGACTGCATGGGATATGAAATCTTCGGTTATGTATAAGGCGTCATGTGCACTGAACAGGCCACTGCATTGTGACCAGAAAAGTACATCCTGTGGTGAGCTATGGAAAAGTGCTCACACACACACACAATATAGAGATATTAAAATAAGTGTGAAGATATGAAAAATAAAATAAAAATATGACACATGTTCTGTAGATGGAGCTGCAGAATGAGGGACCAGGGTGTGTAGAGAAGAAAAGAGGCCTGAGCCTCTTACTACTGCTGACCCTAATCCTCCGCAACCCCGTAGATCAGCATTCCCACAATAAACTGCTGCGGCCAGTGTTCTACTGACAAGAATTTACCAATAACTAATCTGATGTCACAACTCACCAAAGCATGCAAACCGAACATCGCTGGGGTGACAAAACATGTGGAACATACAAGCTATTTTAAAAAATGGATCCATTTAATTGCATTTGGACAGATACTGTACACAGCGGAAGTGGAAATGACATCATCAATGATCAAGCCAATAGCCAATTAATAATGATGATAATCCCCAAAGAAGCTTTGGCTGGTTTGCTGACTTTGGCAAAACAAGAATATGAATCACACTCTCTGGTACATGCCGCAGTAGCTCACTTAGCCGTCCGTCAAGTACACAGCTCAGTCAAGGAGGCCCATTGTTGTACAAGTGAAAGAGATTGGTTGACCACTAAAGGCACTCAGTGCAGCCTCTCCCTGTACCCACAGGCTAATGTTATGACCTTTTTTGGTCACATGAGGTCCAGATGGCCCCATACCATGATTTTACCACCTAGTCCTGGCCACTCTATCTGTTAAGTGTAAGTTAATGATAAGGAGAAATTTCTCTATAATGAAACATAACAGAGCTTTGTTTGCTCCAATTCATTTTCATGGCATAATTATGGTTTATTCTTAGTAGCAACTGCAGCAGCTGTACAGTCCAAGTCTGGAGCCTACAGGCTTTCTTGCAGGTGTCACAGGTGAAATGTAAAGTGCAGTGAAATATATGGAGTAGCCATCCTTCAGCTGTGTTCCCTCTTCTCCTCCCATCATCTTTTACCAACTGCTGTGACTTACCATGCCTCAACTCCTATGGTACCCTGGTTCTAGACCTCTGAATCATCGCCCACATCTCTGGTTCATTCAGGTATTAAAATAGTTCTGGTGTTGTGCTCATTAGCACTTTTTCCTCCAGCTGGACGAAAGCTACCTCCAAACAAGTCTTGCTTCGAAAAAAACAATGCACTTAGTAAGTTCACAGGCCTGGTTCGCTTTCATCGTCATGTGTGTGTTCTACATGGGGCTCAAAAAGACCTTACTGGGTAGGTTGCTTTATCAATACATTGCGAAAGCTCCACATCTTCAAAGCTGTGATCACAGATGGAAAGGCTTTGTGAGACCAAAATAAATTCAGGCATGTACAAATCTCCTGATGAGTTTTTGGAGTACTTTGTGTGAGTGACAGGCCAGTGCAGCATTGTCAGCAAACAGTGCTTCCCTGATAAGAATCCAAATAACCTTGGCATTTGCCTGGAGTTACTGCAGACCAAAGAGATTTTTGTGTAAAGGCAAATTGCAGCCTCGGTGCAACATAGTGACCACATTGGAGAAGAAATCAAACAGCGTGGGGGGAATGCCAAGCCCTGTTTAACCCACACTTAATTGGGAAAGTTTTTGAGAATAGGTCACACGGCTCTTAAAGGAACCCTTCACAACGTAATCATCCAAAAAGCAATGATGGAGCATGAAGAGACTTTGACTGACATGGTTAAAGGCCTTTGTCAGGTCATGAGTCATCTTCTCTGTTTATGGCATTTGTTTGGAGTTGGTGCTATGAGAATATCCTACTGATGGTAGATTATTGAGATTCTGGGTACATAGAGGCAAGAGCAAACTGCAGTTTATTTACGCTTACTCTGGCAAATAACTTCCGAAGGACGTTCCGAAGGGAGATTGCACAGTATTTCTTTCGTCTATGTTTTATGTTTGAAAAAAGGGTAGGGTGATTGTATTAGCACACAAATATCCTGAGGTATCCTGCCGTCTTCACCAAGCACTGAAAAGGGGCTATTGACTAAGAATATTGAGGTCATACTCATTGATTAGTCGCTTATCTGGAGCAGCAAAGAATGCCAGCTTGCCCCAAATAAGCCACAGGCACTTCCCTTTGAACTATGTGTGCTGAAATTCTCAGCAATCAAACCATAATTAAACCACCACCAGATAAGTATTTTCCTTGGTTAACATTTGTGTTCGAGTATATTTGTGTTTCCAAACTACTCCACCCCCCCGGCCCCCTCCCCTTCCCCTCCTACTTGCACATAGAAAGATCAGCAAAACCTAAGCTATTGGCTCTCCCGGAGATACCAAATGGGTAGAGTGACTGATACACAGCTTACACTCTGACACAAATGGAAGACTAAGTCCCAGATTAGCGTAACACACCAGATTTATCAGCCTGACCAAAGAAGAACTGAAACAACATTGATTTCTTTTCACACTCATCAAAAGAAAGTGCAAAGGTTGCCCACGATGAATCTGTCAGTCACTGGACTTCACTCAGTAATATGTGATAGGAGAGCTCGAGGTTATGTCATGCGATGTATCTCACAAACAGCAAGGGCTAAAATTATTCCCTGATCCACTTGGCCTATTAGAACATGAACATTAGGTCATCCAGCCTACCTTTAAACTGGGAAGTGGCCTCCTAAAGTAAAGACATAGGGGTAGAAAAAACAGAATCAGGATATACATCTAGCTTAATGTGTGTGTGGAGGAAGTCTGCTGAGCAACCAAAAACGCAAACTCTGCACAATAGGGAACTTTAACCCTGCTTGGGGGGGGGGGGGGGGGGCTGTACCTTATGGCATTTATCAGGACACGGCTAGAGTGGATCGTGGGGAAGGGTGAGGATGGGTCAACCTCACCTCAAGCTATATCACAGAGAATGAAAAGCATTTGTTCTATGTACACTGTCCATAGTCTAAGTCCCAACATGGCTCCCTGTATACTTATATCATCCTTTTTAGACCATTCACAATCAATAAAAAGTCTTAGTAAGGCATATCTGATAGCAGCACAAAATCTCTGCAGTGGTGAGAGGCAGACCTGGCTGCTGTCCTCAGGGAGGCATAGCCATATGATGGGAAATGAAAAGCTTATCTCTTCAGAGTCCAGATCTGGCACGCACTGACTCAGGCCAGACTGAGCGATATCCATCGATGGCATACACACTAACAGTTTAA